CGCGCGGTTCTCAATGGAAGCCATCGGTGTGCCCTAATTCATGGAGTGGTGGTAATGCGGTGCTATATAATGGGTCGCGCTGCTCGTGTCATACGTGCGTCCGACGGCTTTCTGCCGAAGATGCGATAGACGTGTTTCCATATAAATGTTACACGTTGGTCAAATTCGCTCTTTCATGCTGCTTCTTTCTGGCTCGAGACAATGTCGCCGCTGCATCACGTAGCAGCGCATGCAGAAACGTTGAAGTGACACTTCCTCACTAGTTGTTTGCACAGTGCCACTGACAACAACACGCTATTTCAAAACACAGTATATTTCACAGAGCCAGCGTGACTGCTGATATTGCGAACACGAGGAATGCAAGGCACCGCCCCACGGACCTGTACACAACTGAACAAAAACTTGCTTTATATGATTTCTGTCATGAGGCACTGCATGAGGGGCTACTCCCCCATGGGAAAAGATTCTTGAATCGAAAGACGGTGGAGGGTTGGGTTAAGCGACGCAATAACTGTCTCTCAGACAAGGACACCACAATCACGACACTTGAAGTAGAAGGGGACGAAGGTAGGGGAAAAATTAGAGGTGATTGAGAGGCATGTGTGTTGGCGGGAGGGGGGAGGTAGTATAACAGAGGACTGACAGCTTAACACACACAGACACAGTTATCGAAGTTTTTCGCCGTCAGGTTGAGTCGGCGTGGGCTAGAGATGGTCAGCCAGTTGCGCAACTTCAATGAAGTTGAGGACGGCGCACAGGGCAGAGCGCATATGATGGGCCCATGCTACCGGGCTGCGAATGTCATCCACTGTAGCAAACGACAGTCCCAGCTGCCGCAATAACTCGAGATGGAGGTAGATAAAAGCTGCAGCTTGGTAGTTATCACCTACGGAGCAGAAACCTCGAGGCTTAAAAGATGCTTCAGCTTAAATTGATGGTTGCGCATCGAGTGATGGCAAGGATAATGATAGGTGTAGCTTTAAGAGACAATAAGAGAGCATAGTCGGTCAGAGAACAAGTCGGGGTGCAGGATATCATAGTTTAAACCATGAAGAAGAAAAGAACATGGGCCGGGCAAGTAGCGCGTAGGCATTATAACCACTGGTTATTAAGGGTAACTCACTGGATTACCAGAGAAGGAAAGCGGGTGAGGGGGAGATAAAAAGAAGCTGGGAAGATGATATTAGGAAGTTTGCGGGTATAAATTGGTAGTAGCACGCACAGGACGAAGTTGACTGGCGGAACATGGGAGAGACTATTATCCTTCAGGGGGCGTAGTAAGGCTGATGATGACGACGTTGACTAGCCACTCAAGATAACGTTCAAGCGTTAATCGTAGCCAAAGTCGGATTCCTATAGCGGCCTTTCTGAATCCAAAGATTCTCAGCAGTCTCTACCACGATGCAGGTCTCACCACCTTATTGGTCAATCGCTTCGCAGTCGCTTGCGATTGGGAGCGAAGGGTTATTTAATTTATTCATTTTGGAGGTAGTGGCGAAGTACTGCACCAGAGTGGCCAATTTTAGTCTCATGAAAGAGTGCATTACCGGCAGCAGTCGCCCGTTAGGGTACCCCTTGGGTTTTTTAAGGCAATTACATCATCTCATGGATTTCTGATTTGTTTTTTTTTATCTGACTGAAATTTTTCTGGCAGTGCCATTTCAACTACGGACTTTTCCCATGCGAGATTGATGCACATCTTCTAAGTAGGGGTTCTGCCGCATTTGCTTAACAATCTTGAAGTCTACATCAACTACGGGTAATTTTTCTACTTTGCCTTGCATGTCGTCTATGGTATCCAAAAATTCTACTTCAAAAAAATATATATATATATATATATACGGTAGACAAAGAGGGTGACAAACGCAGGTGGGCCTGCCTTCGTCGGAGTGAATGGTTACACATGGCACACAGAGCACATATATAAGCCGCTTCTTTGCGTATCACATGGCTGAGTCATTATCAGTAGTTTAAGAAACAAGATTATATATCACCAAAGGTACGTGGCTATAGTGCATATACAGCTGAAAACGCGTATTATTATACAATAGTGAATTGGCACGTATTAGATACCCTACAACTTGTGTGGAATGAAACAGGTCAGCAAAATAACAAACTGCGCACGCAGTAGCTCACTTGGTCATACGTTCTGCGGAATAATCACAGCCTAAAAACATTCAGTAAGCCTTTAAAAAAGAAAAAGAAGTTTAGAGACATAAACAAAATCACAAAGCAGGCAGAGCAAAATGAATGCGAGTAAAATGGTGAAGCGACAAAGCCCACCTACATTATGTAGGTAATATTTGACAATAGGCCAACATCGTGCGAAGAATATACACTTGACAGTAAATCAAAAAAGCGATTTACTAAGGAAATATGCATGTAAGCGTCCCTGGGCTCTCGTTCATGCCGGCAGATAGTGTTTTGAATTTATTAATTAAAAATGACTCTTTTACTTCGCGTTCATGGTGTGATTGAAAACCCGATTCCAGTATTGTAGCTATCATGTTACTGAATGAATGACCTGCCTTGGTGACATGCTTTGAAATCGGTAAGTTAGGAAGGGCATGCACATGAGCTTTATGATTATTGAAACGGTATCGAAAAGCAGTTTCAGTATGACCTATGTATTGCACATGACAGATTGAGCATTCTAGCAAATATACGACATTTGCAGTATCGCAAGTGAAACTGCCCTTAATATTGAACTTGAAGTTCGTCGCAGTACTGGCTGCCAGTGTTGTTGTGGTCATGTGTGCACACACTTTACAGCGGGGCTTTTTACAAGGACGGCAACCAAGCGTCTGGTCGTTATTGCTCTGTCTGGTTTTAGAGGAAGTTAATAAATCTCGCAAATTTTTGTCTCGTCTGTAGACAACACGTAGTGGTTCTGGAAACGCTTTTGCAAGGCGTTCGCTCTGCATAAGTATGTTGGGGTAATACTTTGATAATAACTGTAACCAGCTACGCACTGCACTTCTTAAACAGAAATATCCGCCCAAGTTAGTCGATGACGCAGTAAGGCGTGCCGACGCAGAAGAGCGTACAGCACTCTGCATCCCCAAGAAAAATCCTAAAAGTCATTCGCAGGTTAACCTGGTTTTAACCCACAACGCATTGGCACCTAACGTCGCATGTATTTTCTGTAAACACCACAACATACTTATGCAGAGCGAACGCCATGCAAAAGCATTTCCAGAACCACTATGTGTTGTGTACAGACGAGGCAAAAATTTGCAAGATTTATTAACTTCCTCTAAAACCAGACAGAGCAATAACGACCAGACGCTTGGTTGCCGTCCTTGTAAAAAGCCCCGCTGTAAAGTGTGTTCACACATGACCACAACAGCTCTGGCAGCCAGTACTGCGACGAACTTCAAGTTCAATATTAAGGGCAGTTTCACTTGCGATACTGCAAGTGTCGTATATCTGCTAGAATGCTCAATCTGTCATGTACAATACATAGGTCATACTGAAACTGCTTTTCGATACCGTTTCAATAATCATAAAGCTCATGTGCATGCCCTTCCTAACTTACCGATTTCAAGGCATGTCACCGAGGCAGCTCATTCATTCAGTAACATGATAGCTAAAATACTGGAATTGGGTTTTAAATCACACCATGAACGCGAAGTAAAAGAGTCATTTTTAATTCATAAATTCAAAACACTATCTGCCGGCATGAACGAGAGCCCGGGTACGCTTACTAGCGTATTGCCTTAGTAAATCGCCTTTTTGTTTTACTGACAAGTGTATATTCTTCGCACAATGTTGGCCTATTGTCAAATATTACCTACATAATGTAGGTGGCCTTTGTCGCTTCACCATTTTACTCGCATTCATTTTGCTCTGCCTACTTTGTGATTTCCTTTATATCTCTAAACTTTTTTTTCCTTTTTAAAGGCTTACTGAATGTTTTTAGGCTGTGATTATCCCGCAGAACGTATGACCAAGTGAGCTACTGCGTGCGAAGTCTGTTATTTTGCTTACCTGTTTCATTCCACACAAGTTGTAGGGTATCTCATACGTGCCAATTCACTATTGTATAATGATACGCGTTTTCAGCTGTATATGCACTATAGCCACGTACCTTTGGTGATATATAATCTTGTTTCTTAAACTACTGATAATGACTTAGCCGTGTGATACGCAAAGAAGCGGCTTATATATGTGCCCTGTGTGCCATGTGTAACCATTCACTCCGACGAAGGCAGGCCCACCTGCCGCAACGTTAGTAAAACTAGTGTTTTTTCGTACGTTTGTCGACCTCTTCTTCTACCGCATTTTTCACCGGATCCATTGAACTTCACCCCCCCATATATATATATATATATATATATATATATATATATATATATATATATATATATATATAATCTTGGAAGTAGAATATGAAATAAGAAGAAAGAAAAGTGGGTTCTTCTTATTTACATTACATTTGTTCTAATAAGTTTACGTGCTACGTGACGCCAGACAGGCTCATAAAATGGTGTTGCACACCCGCCGCTTGGCTACAGATGACGCTGACTGACACTCCCACGTTTAAATTCCCATATAAACTCAAAAACGTGGGTTTGGGGATGGCCGGTGTGATAGCTCAGTGGTTAGAGTCTCGAACGCGTTATTCGAAGGTCATGGGTTCGATTCCTGCTCCCGGCTGGTTATTTGTTCACCCACTTTTCTTTCTTCATATTTACATTACATTTGTTCTAATAACTTCCCCTATACATTCCTTGGCAATATTGTCTGTTAGATCTCATTATTATTGCGTCAAAACACGGAAAAACGAGCCCTTAGGCTTGCACCTCTTTCCCTTATATATATATATATATATATATATATATATATATATATATATATATATATATATATATATATATATATATATATATATATATATATATATTTGAAATAAGATAAAAGAGGCCAGATGGTTTTCGCGCTGCACAACTTGACGCCAAGAACACACAGATAAAGTAGTAGAGGCAACAGACCAGTGATTTAGTAGTTATATACCGTTTATTGAAAGAACAAGTCATAAAAACATTTTCAAAATAGCAACTGGTAGGATAAATATAAGAGGCATAACAAAAATCAAGAAAGGAAACTGATAACTAATAAAAGGTAAGTGGAAAAGTAGGCAATGGTGATACGATAAAGTCTGAATCATAACATAGGGCGAGAATGCAAAACCTATCCATTTCCTTCAATCTTAATGATGCTAATAGTTGAGAAACCTAATTACCCAGAAATTCATGGAATTGGCAAGCCTCAGAAACCTTGGGTCAAACTGCTCAAGACTGTGATGCGAACGATGCTGTTTGTGCAAAGAGGTGCAAAACCAGTTTATTTGAAGAAAACTAGCCGAGTAAGTGTGTAAGTGTGAGTAAGGTGACTGGTAATGGCATGGTCGTTCGTTTTTCAATTTTATTAATCATTATTGGTAAAGCTGCATATAGCTAAGAGAATTAAAAATCTGTCGGTCTTCGTGCTGCTAGAAACTTTTTCATGAGCTGCGCCGTCAGTTACACTGGTTTTAGCATTGTCCTAAGTGCACGCAGCATTAGCTGCGCTGCAGTGACCTCGATCATCATGTCACAGCCCTGCCGCTGAGCTCGTACGCTCGAGCTTCAATTCAAAACTTCTACGTTGCTAGACCACGGATCATGAAAACTCCTTAATCGCGTACAATTTTAAAACATACTAAACAATGCCCACAGTATAACCGTGACAGAAGTCGTGTTCTCCAGGCTGAAGCTGCTTTCAGGATGCATGTAAAGACCCGGGTGGCGAAGTGCAATCAGTTTCTGCCTACCGAAGATGCGGCAGCTTTTCAAGGCGCGATTCATCAGGAAGCGGAACGCAAGCGCGAATAGTGGTTGGATACTCCTATACACACGAAATCGAGATAACTCGATAGAACAAACGCAAGCGACAAGGAGAAGCCGCGAAAATGGCATTGTGGGTAGAACAGCGTCAAAATGTCATTGACGGGAATGCGCTCGCCGGCGCCAAAGCCCGCTTTCGGCGGGAGTTACAAGGCCTTCACTTTGGTTTCGACTGCGACGTCTGCAACCGCCTGTCGCCATGCGTTTCAGCGTCCCTGATTAACGAACTGTACAGAGTTCTCAGTCGGTGAATTTATTCTTTTAAAAGACTCGCTTTGCTGCACCAGCATTTAAACACCTATTCAGCGACAAGTTCACTCAACCTAAATTTTGTAAACGACTCTGTATTGTGCTTTGTCAGATTCCAATTGGGAAACGCTTGGCAATAAACCCGTCAGATTAATGCGGGACAGGTCAATAAGTACTCAAGTATAACCGGATATTGCTGTGCGAGCAAATAAAAGACGTGCCAAAAATGAAATCAACAGCCATTTATACAAGAATGACTATTCCGCCAAATGATTCCATTTGAAGGTTACAACTTAATTGTGTTCGCTTACACTGTGTTGTTAGACACCAACCATGCCCATTAAAAACGCCTTTAGTTAGGCAAATGTGCTCACGCTTAGCTGACCAAAGTAATTTTATTCTGAAAAGTATAACGTTGGCACAACCATTACTCAATGTTCTGCTATTTTTCTGTAAGTCAAGACGACATCAACACCTACCCATAAGCAGTAATTGACCCCGCTCCCAAGTTTGAGCGTCTCCAAATCTGCAACGATAAAGGGCCGATGCGTAAAAAAAGCATCGACTTCAAATGGAAGGCCTGTGTGGTCGCAGTATAGAGGCATTTCGACATTGCTTTATCGAGATCCCAGCAAGTTCTTCTACACAAAAGTTACTGTGCAAGGACTACCTCGGCAAGTTTGTTAGCAATCTGTTTTACGTATTATTTTTTTGCAATCACTGTGTATATATAGGAGGTTACAAAATGAAAGAAAATGTTGCAAGGCTTTGGCGGAGAGAAAGATAAAGCGCCAGACACTGGGCTAGCACTGATCAATGTACTTGCACCGATACAAATATGTAGACGTAAATGAATGAGCACTCTTTTTTCGATTTGTGGCTCAGAGTTTTGATAGAAAAGCATACGCTGGAATGGGTTTTAAGGCATATTAGATAGCATGGTTGTCTTGCTGTACAGATGACTTCTGAGGTGGCCAAGGTGTCCTCAATTTGGCTGATATTCCGCGTAGCTGCCGCCCGTCCTTCGCCGTGTTGAAAGCAGACACTGAGATTACACACTCCTGAGCCACGCTAGGAAGACCTGTGCACAAATGAAAGGATAACAAAAGAATCACGTGGGAACCATTTTCAAGCCAGTGGGTCGTTGATTTTCTGGTAAATTTTACTGAGTTTGTTTAGGTATCCATTCGTATTTTAACTCATTATCATCAGATGTTATGTCGTTTGTTTTACATGTTCATTTCTGACGGGTTAATAAATCATGTGTGGCAATTCAAATTCAATAACGAGAAACAAAGGTAAGCACATAGTATAAGAAAGAAAAGAGTGGAAGTGTCCTCCGTATTTATGGACTGCATATCAAATAAAACACGTTATACAGTAGATACTGAAGCAGCTTCGTCAGACTAGTACATCACGATAGAATTGTCTGAAAATACCTAAACACAGATGAAAATTCTTTGTGCTTTACTCTCTCCTATTTAGAATTTGGGTGAATATCAGATGAATAGAAGAGGTGTAGCACCAGGGAATTACTTGTGCTGTCTAGAGTGACTGCATATCATGCCTTTCAAGAAGACCTGAAGGACACATCAGCAGTAATTTTACCACAAAAGCATTAGCTGAGCCACGTTGTGGCATCGACACCAACTTGATGTGGCAGAACTACAAAGAATAAAATAACCATATTCTCTGTACACCGTCCTGCTGATATAATTAACATGACCCGTTACGGGAATTTCGGTTGCTTTTCATTAGGCCTCTGGAAAGTATCAGTGCTGCTGAATCATTCGAGACGCTTTATTTCTAGAAAGCGACACTGGATGGTACCACAAGTGTTGCTGTTACCTGTGGCGTTGTTGTTGTTGCACTATGCTATAAAACGCTACATGACTACGTACAGAAAAGCCCCTGTAATAACTTCTAAATTGTGTCACTGATAAGGTGTCTGATCTCGTAAACATGCGTGCTGCAGATCGTAAACACAATCTCGTAAGCCTTGGCATACATTTTATATATAGCTGTGCTCAACAAAAATTCATATCAGACTCAGAAGCTCCACTTCACAAGTTTGTACATACTTCGTGAGCATGCACATGGCCGCTTTAAACTGATATTATTATGTACACTACTGATTACACTGATATTAGGACAGAATCTTTGAGTGTCTCATTGAACGCTGACATTAAAAAATGCGATGTGTGGTAAAACATTTACCTTGCCATAGCGACAAAAAAAAAATCATGGTATGATTTCAAACTAAAAGGAAATATTCCGTGCAAAGCATTTTCCCCCAGAACAACGCCACTGCTTGAAACCACGTTGGAAGCACACACTCTAAAGCTTGCATGTTGAAAAGGGCATCATGTCGACGGACATGTAATGTGGCGTGACAGAAGCGTAGAATTACGCCCAGCGTCACATCTAGTTCACAGCGTAGCTACCAACCCGGTCGAAAGAGCCCCTCCACATAAATCATTATTGTCCCCATCGCCATCAACTATAGCCTCAAATAGTGTCATGATAACAAGAGCAGCTCGTCTATGTTGTAGAGCTATTCCATTGACCTCCAAAGATGCCATGATGATGATTATACAGCCACAAGAGAAGGGTTTTGCCTAGTAGACATCTTAGGCGAATCTATGAGGGACCGCGTGAGTTTTTATAACGTGAGTACTATTGTGTTTACTCTTGTCCTTCTGCTTCCTCTTCTTTGTATTATTATTATTACTGACTTTATTACAAATAATATAAATAATAATATTTGGCCTTAGCCACAGAAGTGCTTTCCTGAGTGATGATGCTTGTGGTCGCATTTATTTAAAAGCAGTAGCCGCCAGCATGATACATTTGTTTACGTGGAAAAGAACATGGGTACTCAGAATGCCATTAGTTGCTTCAGGTACAGCGGAACCCACTCAAGACTGTCAAGAATTAATGACGAAATGTTGAAAAAATCAAATTGTATTCATATCACGGGATTGCATCACGCTACAAAGAGCCGATATGAGTGCCAAACCCCAATCTACAGAGTTATTGGCTGCAACGATCGGCCGGTAAGCAATACTTCGCATCGGGAATAGAGTTGCTGCAGCACTTGCATCGACATTTTGCATGTAAGTTGTTTTGCACTCACGCGTAGTTCTTCACATGCTACAATCAGCTACTTATATCAAATTTGTCAGCTGTTTTTCATTGAGTTTCATGCTGTGCCGACATCATTCAGCGATCGAGGTCGGTTGTGCTAAGGCGTTTTTTTCGTATACCTTCATCCTCATCATCATCAGCAGCCTGACTACAACCACTGCCGGACAAAGGCCTCTGCCATGATCAAGCAATCAACCCCGTTGTGTGCTTTCTGCTGCCCCATTATACCTGCACACTTTTTAATATCATCGGCCCATCTAACCATGTCTCCCCTTCGTGCGCTTGCTTGCTGCGAATCCAGTGAGTTACCCTTAATGATCCACGGTTATCCTGCTTACGTGTTATGTTCCCGGCTCATGTTCATTTCTTCGCCTTGATTTAAAACTAGGATATTCTTAACCCAAGTTTGTTCCCTGACCCACTCTGCTCTCTTGTCTCTGAAGGTTACACCTAAGATTTTCCATTCGATCACTACCTCTGTCGGGATCTCAATTTAAGCTGTACCCTTATTGTGAGCTTCCCGATTTCTGCTTCGTATGTAAGTACCGGCAAGGTTCAGCTGTTATATACTTTTGCTCTTGAAGGATTGTGGAATATTACCATTCATGATTTGAAAATGCTTGCGGAATGTGATCTACCTTTTTCTTATTCTTCTAGCTATTTTACTCTCATGGATCGGCTCCGTGGTTGCTACCTGCCTTAAGTCGATATATCACAACTTCCAGCGTCTCTCCACCTCACGCTAAGTACTGTTTTCTGCCGGGACTGTCGCACATTACTTTAGTTTTGTGCAGAATACTTTTCGAACCCACCATTCTACTTTCCGTGTACAGTTCAGTATTCATGAGCCGTAATTCGTCCGATGTCATCAGGGAGTTGCAGGTTACAAAGATACCCTTCGTTAACACCTGTTTCTCACTCTTTCCAATCTAGGGCACTGAAAACGTCGTGTAACCACGCGGTGAATAGCATTGAAGAGATTGTGTGTCCCTGCCCTAAAGTTTTCTTTGTTGAGATTCTGTCCCTTTCCTTATGGAGAACTATGGTGGCTGTGGATCTACTGTAGACTTCTTCTATAGTACGTTAACAAGTATGTTCAGTTATCGCCCCTGCCTTCCTTTCCCTCCTGTTTTCTCTTCTTCCAGTATGTAGGGATCACCAATGCCCCGGTCCCGTATTGCCTGCAATACTGCAGTGTCTCCGCTGAGCGAAACTCCGTCTCGTAATTTATGAAAGCTAGGTACAGAGATTGGTTGCATTTCGCGTATTTCTTCACTACCTGATTGATAGTATTGACGCGTGTGTACTGGTGGACCAAAACGACAATAAGGGGATTTGGCGGGCACCAGGTAGTGGAGCTCTGGCTGATTGAAGATAAAGAAGGCCATCTTGCTGTTCGGCTGCTGAGAGTCGCTGTGTCAACGTTTATCTGCGTTTGGTTCACGCTGTACCGCGACACTGGTGGAGGTGCTGGGACGCAACCCTACCTAATGCTCCATACTCCCACTGGGAGCCGTTCATCTAGCTCGGACGCATTGTCACCCATTGCGACTCCCGTGCACCGGTTCAGTCGGCGGCTGATAGGCCTCGCTCCAGAGTTCACGCCTTCCACGGAACCTCGCAAGAGCCGATTACCTCTCCAAATGGCCAACGCCAGTCCGCAATATGGTTGGTTGTGGAGTAGCCTGTATAAAATCCTGCTTTTCCTTTTATTGATTTAGCTCTAGTGTCGCCTTAATTCTAACCTTCTACTTCTGGCCTACGAGTTCACATTATTGCAGGAGAACTTGACCTAAAGAATAATGAAAAAAGCAAAAAAATTTTTTCATAATAATGTGTAAATGCTTCAATGTGAAGCTTAGTACTCCTAATATATTACATTGTCGCTCCAAAAATGGCAAGACGACGCAGACGAGGGCGTGCATAGCCAACGTCAATAAAGGCCCGTTGCGGAATATCCGCTGCCGGATATGTCGTGAACTCTTGAATGAAATCCAACTTTGTGGAGTTGTAGTTCTGTGTGCAGTGTTATGTTGACAAAGTTCTTAGAGACTGAGAAGTGCACTTTGCCTCCCATACCAAGCAAGCAACAACTCGCAGACTCTTCGGGTGTGTGTTGCCAACAAAGGGCATCGTGCAGTTTACGCTACACTTCGGAAGGAATCATAATATATGAACCATGCCATGTAAGTGAGGCATCAGTTCTTTCACACAAGATCTCCATGATCTCTTCAAGAGTATTCAAACTGGTGGTGCTTGGTTTAAACGCTGCGTTATAGAGCTTACAAACTATGCCTGATGCAAACTGCAAAAATAAAGATACAACTATACATTAGAATTATTAGCAAAGGCCCTGCAAACATGAACACCCCCGACATGAAATAACACTGAGTATTTAACAAATTATTGCATCCTTAGACGTGGATCACAACTAGTATATGCCTCAAATGAAAGCTAGGATTTGAGAATCTAAAACAACCACAGGCTACCTGAGGCACGTTTTGGGCGTCCACAATTATTCTTACATATTTGTTTTACAGTAAGCATGGTTTTCACTCGTGAGAAGGAGTATGAATTGTGGTGTGATGACTTCAAATGTGCCTAAGAAGGAGAAGTACGTAATGTTGTTTTGACCCTCACCTATTTTTGATACGATCATTTTCTACGCTGCTGTGTTATTTTTAAATACTACTGAAGTTACCCAGCACAAAGCTGTTAAGTAGAAACGTCGTAGCCCCAGGTGGTAACCTCCTGCATCATCATGCAAATGCCAAGATAAGCTTCGTGGAAAACAAAATGAAACTGGCAGTATACTACTCCTATGTGTGGTTGTTTTACGTGCTTTCAATCTTAGCATTGCTCATTCCAGTTTTGAGCCTTGCATATGACATAGGAAAAAAATAGTCAAAAACATCAAGTCTTTATATTTCTGCATATGTCACTTGCGGCTTTCCTAAACTTTAAAATGAGCGTATCAGGAGCTAATTAGAGTAAAAAAGAAAATAGCGCTGCCTACCAGGTATGAAAATAAATGAGTCATCAGTGGTCGCAGCCATCTGGTGGCCCTGATCACAATGCCATGAAACAATGTAGCCGGTCAGCGGCCCTCTTGGTTCATTCGGCGCCTTCCACTCGACATAAGCTGAATCATCTTCTGTTACGTTCAGTCTCAGGCTTGTAGGCTCACTCGGATCTGGAAAAGACGCGCACGAAAAAAATCACAACCACGTATCAGACATGCGCATCAACGCGATTAATAATTGTGCACTTAAACTAGACTTTTCGGTCACTCGAGAAGACACTCTTGCTACGTTTTTACTACAGCCCACTTTGTGTGATAAATTGAGAAGACCAGGCCCTACAGTGCAATTTATTGCAGCGAAAATTGGTATGAAATCACGAGAGCAGCAGACTTTGGTAGCGTAGTTGTCCACTACCACAGCTTTCACTACCGCCGGTGTCTACAGCCGCTATCACGCAAACCACGTAAATACGAAACGATACTATCAAACGCTACGATCGGATAGTATTTCAACCATGGCGGAACCTTTGAGTATTCTGCTACCTAGCCATGCCGATGCTTCGGAAGTCTTCGTGAAAAAACACTACACAGGTGTCAAGTTGGACTAGGAATTACGTAAACACATGCAATATAGCGTGGTAGAAGGGTAAAATAACTGTCAGGTGCCACACAATGCTTATTATGTAACGAGTGGATCATCTAGTTCTTGCAACCTCTTACAAAAGACTGATAAAATCTAAGGCACATTTCTTCATTGTCATGCGCCATGGAATCATCAAGATGCCCGTGATGCTGACAGATGTGTGGAACGTACTTCGCTTCTCTGAAGAAAGACAAATTATGACATAGTGGGTGCTTTCCATATTTAAAAAAAGTTATGGAGACTCATAACATAATGAGTAAAAAGTGTACTGGTGTTAGTTATCACAAGATAGTAATGGGCTGTCTAAAAGCTGCTCTTCCAGCTTTCACTGAGACATAGCTGCATGTTCTGTGCAGGCCTGGCGTTTTTGTTTACTCATACGTAAAACATTTAATGGGGCATAATTTAATTACCATCGTATGAAACCTATTGATGGCGAAATTGTCGGTTGTATTCAATTCTTACATTATATATTAAGTATGGGCTCCCTAATGTACAGGGTTTTCGAAAGAAAAAAAATGAGACAAATGTGTCCTAAAGACCACTCAGACTGCCGTTTCAGAAAAAAAAGGGCTTTTATTCTTTTATGACGACTTCCTACTGCCTTACAAGCAATAAAGAACAGAGCCTACAAACACCGACTCTCAACAAACAAACAGTAACAAAGAGGTCCGACAAATTTCTATTGTACAGTGTCCATTTTTATGAAACGGAACACAGGATTGCGTGGCCCGCGTGCTCCGGCTACTCGTGGTAGTGAATTCAAGTGTGAATGAGAGCAACCACAGTCTCTTTTTGCGTCATCTTGCGGCGAGCAAAAGAAGGAGTCCTTGAAGATATAGAACCACTGGCAAAATTGCAACTCCCTCGCCTTTCAATGTGATTACGCAAGAGCCCGGTAATTGGCTTGAAGGGTGAGGGGGTTGCATTCTTGCCAGTGGTTCCATACGAACAATGATTGCTTGTTTTGTTCGCCACGAGATGACGCGAAAAGAGGCTATGGTTGATCTTTCTCTCATTTCAACGTGCTACCACCACCAGCCGAAGCATGCAGGCCACGTGTTCTCTGGCTCTCTTTCAAAAAAATTTGCACTGTACGGCCGCCAGCAGTTTAACTCGAACGCTCTGATGCATGGCCACGGCTCGCTTGAACTGAGGTCCGCGCCACCAAGCGTTGAACATGATATGTTTGCTGCAGTTGAGAACAGATCTAGCACACATCGGTTGCACAAGTACAATTCTGTTTCCAGTCTGCCTGACCGATGGGTCGAATACACTCACTTCGCATCCCGTTTTCGCCACTTTTCGCTTGTGGCTACGTTATCGCGCGCACCCATGGCACACATTGTTGTATACTTTTCTCGACAATGAATCATTGCGTGCTATAGCATAACGCACCTTGCGAGTTTGAATTCGAAACAGGGAATCACATATCTGAAAATCAAAGAAAATACATGGTCCGGACGTTTATAAAAGTTGCACTATAAATAAATCTGAAATGCGGTGGCGATGTTCATAATCTGATTCAGTAATTATCAGACAACGTGAATGGAACTGTTCTCGCAATTTTGAGTGTGCCTTCCTTCTCGGTTCACGCTACACAGAAGATTTAATCTTACAGCGCAGCCCCACCGCGGTGGTCTAGTGGCTAAAGTACTCGGCTGCTGACCCGCAGGTCACTGAATCAAATCCCGGCTGCGGCGGCTGCATTTCCGATGGAGGCGGAAATGTTGTAGGCCCGTGTGCCCGGATTTGGGTGCATGTTCAAGAACCCCAGGTGGTCGAAATTTTCTGAGCCCTCCACTACGGCGTCTCTCATAATCATATGGTGGTTTTGGGACGTTAAACCCCACAAATCAATCAATCAGTTCTACTCACGATGTCTGAAAGTTATTGAACCAGAACATGAACTACGTCATTGAATTTCAGACTTATTCTGCAACTTCTACAAAGGCCTTGAACGTGCGTTTGCTTTGCTTTTTATACATGTAATTTTCTTTGGACCGCAGCAGCTGTGAATTCTAACACGAAAAGTGCGTAACCTGTCGCACGCAATGGTTCATTGTCGAAAAAAGTATACGACAACGAACGCCATGGGCGCTTGGTAACGTAGCCGCAAGCGAAACGTGGCGAAAACGGGATGCGAAGTGCATTCAACCCGTCTGTCAGGCATACTGGAAACAGAAACTTACTAGTGAAACTGACGCACGCTACATCTAACCTTAACTGCAGCAGCAATATCATTTTCAGCGCTTGGTGGCGATGAACACGGTTCAAGCGAGAAGAGGCAACACGTCGGAGCGTTCGAGTTAAATGTGCTGACGGCTGTACGTCCACTGGCTAACGGCTCTCGGGCAGCAGATGTGGATACTGGGCATGCCTGCACAAGCTTAAATTTTGTTCATCGAGGAAGCTCAGCTGCATTTTTCACGAGAAGAGCAGAATGAAAATTTGATGCGGCAATCAGCTGCAAACAATATTACACTGGCAACGCGTTCATAAATATCTCGCTCAATAATTCACGAATTTGTATTGCACTAGTTTTTGTGAGACCTGTATGGCCACAACAAATAAAACCACTATTATAGCCCATAGAAGAACTTGTGAGTATGAAATAAACTTTTTAAGCTTGCCTTTTATGCGGAATCAGGTGGAGAGTGCCCCAAACTCACATAAAAGAAGAATGCAATGAGTGCAAGTGGCGTCGTTTGCTTAGAACGCGTATTTGTGCTGTCGCCTTGCGAATACCATTGAAAAAACTAACTAAACCATTTTCTAGAAGATCCACGCAGTTGCAATAAATGCCTGAAAGCAATCGATTGAGTGGTTTTAATTTAAAAAATTGAAATTTGCAAAAAAGAAAGTAGGAGACATGGATTCTACTGCTCGACTTAGCGTTAACGCAAAGTTCGGGGGTCAATTTTTTTCCCATATAACATGCAAACATAAGCAATGCTTTATGCCAGCAACGTTCAGCTTAGTGCTTGATCTTAACCTGGGTACGCTGGTGATAGGATGTAATGACTCCTAGTGAGCCCAACCTTTTATAAGGGCATAGTATACGATTCAACACAGCCATAATGTAATTATCAGCACTCGTAATGGACTCGACAACTAGAACGTGTGAATTTTAGTTATTATAGCACCAATACCACACACTCTAGACTTCTTTGGGCCTTCATGGCTACTGACACTGTGTGCTACCAAACAGATCAATTGAAGGGCCTGAAGTAGTGTGTATAAGAAACGTTTCAGCAACTTCAACTTTTAGTATTGGTTTGAAATACGAGCACAGTACGTAGACATCGACCGCTATGACGTGCCTAACACGAACAAAGGACAGATTACGGGATTAGTGTGCAACTTTCGCAACAGCAACGATGGTCTTCTGGCCCAACATCTCGGTTGATGCGGCTGTGAAGTTCAATTTGACAGCACAGTTGTGATGAATAAACACAAAGCTGAGCGCTCAACGGTTATCTACGAAGCTGCTAATGTAGCACGTAATAACTTGACTTGTGTAAGCAAATCTTCAATGGCCCTGTACAATAAGGAGCTTGCGTTTTTAGACAGTGGCAGATACCATATAGGCGTTAAAAATTGCTTAAAGGCAAAGTGGTCATTAGTAAGTTCGAGCTTAATACATTATATGTTTTGGTTATGCCATGTTACGTTTCCGGTGTGGTATTATTGTAAGTCATTACGAGTAGTTTCATCTGTCAGTATATATGAATTTCACAGCTCTCCCAATAAACTTTCAGTTGGTAGTAAGTGCTTGTCCGTGTCTCAGCTGTCCCTGTCTACATATCAGGTTCATATTTCAAATTGTCATGAATTACCAACTCGCCTAATCAAGCATTTCAACTTACCGCAAGCTTCAAATCAAACAAAACGGCTATTATTATTGGTGCATTGATAATAACAACTCACTTGAAATGTCAGTGGTGATTACCACTGTGCTATTGTCACCACATCCTAGGTTATTGCAGCCTTTCGCAGATAGGAAGTAAGTCGTGTATGGTTTGAGCTCTGGGATTCTCACAAACCCTTCCTTATAAGAGGAGTTCCAGCCGTGCATGACGACCACGTCACACTCCGTCGAGTTGTCACAGTTCACCCAGCTGTTATAGTTGGTCGCGACCTGAGCAAACAAGTAAGATCAAATGCAGTGCAGTGAGGGGTCCATGTGAAATTATTGCTGCGTAAAACGCATTTCCCCATAAAAACAGATTGCGTTAGCTGGAAGATGTTTTACGCAGTAGCGTTGAAGCCGCAACGTGTGTTAATAAATCACCACATCAAACTCAAGTTTCTGTTTTTTCTAAATTCAGTATTTGGTATCAGCCACATGGGCAAGCAGGAACTTCTCTTGAGTTGCTCCGTTCCAACTTATCTTCCTAATATCAAAGAAATAATATGGCATCAGTACCATTACATGTATTGCGAAAATGCGGTGGTCAATTGCGCTATTAACAGGTATACTTATGTTTCGAAGGATTACAATCAATGAACATGAAGGGCACTAGAACTAGATGTGTCCAAAGAGCACTAAACAAGAAATATTTTTCATACCACTGTCTCCGAGACACTGCCTACTCACCAGTCGGATAGTTAAGAACGTTGTTTTATGTACATATTTTGTGGCTGGGAAGGTATTATTAACAATTGTTGGTAAACAAGCCATTTCATTCTAGAACTTCCCAGACATAGTTACTTATACCACCCGAAGAAAAATCGGGAGCAGTCTTCTCCACAGTTCAATTATTTATTTGTTTGTTTTCGTTGAAGCTAGAACGCTATAAACGGAACTACATGCTGCACAGACCTAAAAATGACGAAACTATTGTAATATTATAGTCACACAAGAGACTTCGTCATAAGCCGCCATCTTCGCAAAATATTTCTCGTGAAATAAAGCAAAGGAAATGCAAGCTGCTTCTAAATACAGCCTGGATGAGTATTTACGCCTTAAAAGATGTCATGTAAAATATTATGAAACAAAGCAAATGAGCAGCCAACCTCGACATGAGTAACCGTGCTGTTCAGAAACACCCATGACACTACCGCTACGTCTGGTGCAGTTTGAAATCCCTTCGTGGACAGTGTAGGGGCCAAAGGAACTGTTAAAAACGAAAAAAAAAAACAAAATCATGTGAGCGAGTTTTCTTTTGAATAATTGCATAAATGCGAGAGAATTAGGTAAAGCAAACACTCCAAATATTGTATATGTTAGTAGACTACCAGTTACTACTGGTAAAAACACGGACAACTCAAATGCCTTTATACTACGAACGACACACCATAACATATGTAGCGATTTCCCAGAGTGTATGTGGACAACCACAAATTATGAAAACATAACCACATTGAAATAGTAGTAGTTATTGTTGTATTTATGCAAATGCATTTCGCTGCAGAAACAAACCACTTTTATTTGTTTTACAATGTTCATTATAATGATACTGTTTAGCCACATTCATGCGTTCTATTACAAGTGTCACTGTCATTTCTCTCTTATCTGAAGAATAAAGTGTATGTTGCACTTATACCCACCATAAATGCGCATGCAGTCTTGCACTAGCGCTGGTTGCGAGAGCATTTGCTACTCTTGAACAAGAGCCGTACAAAGTTACCGACGCTCATGCCTGCTCGAGTAACACAATCATAATCACAGAATTCACAACTCATAGAGACAAATCAGAAATACATCCCGCACATGCGATTGCTTCAGAGGTTTGGGTCCACATTCGCAATACTACGATCTCGAGCAGCGAGTGGCGTAGCCAAATCATTCGCCTTTCGTGAAAAGCGGCCACTTGCGACCATTCAGGACCAGCTTGGACGCGAGATAGTAACTATACCTGCATGCTTAAATGAGTCCTGACTTGTCTCTACTTCATATCTATTTGCCGAATGGTGTCTTTATTCTCAGCGCATGCACTCCTAATGTGGCTATTTATCCACACATCATGAATTAATTATACACACAATGTGTAAGTTAAGCACATTATTCAAGATATACTTGAACGAATAACGTCTTTTTTTATAAATTCGTAATGCTCCGCCACGGTGGTTTAGTGGCTAAGGTACTCGGCTGCTGACCAACTGGTCGCGGGATCAAATCCCGGATGTGGCGGCTGCATTTCCGATGGAGGCGGAGATGCTGCAGGCCCGTCTGCTCAGATTTGTGCACAGTTAAAAACACACAGGTGGTCGAAATTTTTGGAGCCCTCCACTACGGCGTCTCTCATAATCATATGGTGGTTTTAGGAAGTTAAACACCACATATCAATCAAATCAAATCAAATCAAATATGAAAGCCCAATTCCTGTTTGAAATTATCTTTTTCATATCAGGGGTGCTATGAAGAAAAGCCCGAGTTTCTTGGCCAAACGAGTTGGCGGGGAGCTCGCACTATGGTTGTCATGAAACCAAGACAGTGCGGAGCACGTGATAGCAGCACTCACAAAAGCGGCTACAAGAACGGACACGGCTTTACAAACGAATGTGCGGCATTATCATTCGTTTTGAAAGGAACGCCATGCGCGAACTGTTAGCGCCAACACTCAGCCAACATTTTAACAGTGCAGCCAAAAGTCAGCGTAATGGTTAGGCTATTATTTTTTTAACTCTACGCCATGCCTACCACAGACCTGTTTGCTGGTGTGTGTACTCTTTTGGGCAAGTTCTTTCATTTCTTGAACTCTTAGGTAGCGCAAACTTCAGGGACGAGAGGCAAAAGAATGCGACACAAGAGCGCTAACTTCCAACTAGAGTGTTATTGAAGAAACACGTGAAATATATAGGTAAACACGTGCCTGCGCAGCTTAAAACCACAAAACCACGAACTACCCTGAATCTGTGCAGGCACGCAGTAACCTGCATATTTCATATGTTGTTTCAATAAAACTTTAGTTAGAAGTTAGTGCTTTGGTGTCACACTCCTTGCCTCACGTCCCTGAAGTTTGCGAAACAGTTCAATGGAGCACCAACTATAGTTGAAACAAGCACCCTAAATGTTTAATTTCAATTGTTACATCTGCACAATAAAAATTTGCCCTCTCGAAGACAACAAAGACAAACACGCAGCACTCCCGCGCAGCTCGTTTCACTTCTAACGAATATTGGGGACAAATATGCACACCGGTTGTCATCAGACATTCCTATCACGGCAGCAACGCGGCTGTGAGTGGTGCGTCGTGAGCGCGTTACACCAAATGCGAGACATTGTAACCACGGGATGAAATAACCGTTACTTCTTCGTACGTGTGTAAATGGTCTATATGCGATTAAGCTTATAGATAACCACACTGCTCACTCGTGTTGTGACGTGAGCACTGCTTCTTTGCAAGAGCAAAAGCGGTGAGCCGGCTCGATCTAATCTGCGGGCGTCTTTCAATCCAACTGATTGACGCATGTATTGATTCTGAGGTGGCCCCCATTCAACTTGTGACTGTTCAAGTTCCAGTGTGACTGGAAATCATTTCATGTGGTGGACGCTAAGCAGGAGCTTTTTTGCATATGAAATAATTTGGTCTGTTTACTTTTGCAAGCCTGGAGCGATCAGAGGAGCTTGTGGTCACCTACCTTTATTCAGCTTTTTATGTGGCTCGTCTATTGTATGTTCCGTCTGCTTCGAAGCGGAGACCATGTCAGTTTGGTCTCAGTATTGATGGCACTTATCAGTGATGGCTTAAGTGGCATGATATTGAACAGGTGTCATCTTTGGTAAGGTTTTCATTAACACGAAAGTGGTTACCTTGGGTGCAATTAGCAAGGTCTGGAATCGTATGAAGCAAACTACAATGCCTTAATTGGCGTGGATCTAACTGGCGTGATCCTTCTGTTAAATTCCTAGTTAGCTTGTTTTCAATTAGGGCGTTCTTAAACAGCACTATGCTAATTATCATTGTCTTAACTTGCACGGTCCTAACTTTACATCGCTTACCCGCATGTTCTAATACAATGTGACCTAATTAGCTCGTTTTAACAGGACTCAGCCTAATGTTTTTGTCAGAGCTTGATTTGACAAAATTAGCTAGGTATACCTCTCAGCCAATCAGCTAATCTTCTGGGCGCACACGCTCGGGGAGCTAGCAGAGGATGACGACGACCAAGAGGGCACGCGCCGGATGAGCAGCACACTTGAATGTACAGGCCGACCATTATGAGTATACAGGTGACCTCGGCGATTAGCTATGGCCGCTACGTTGTAAGGCGCTCAGTCTGAACTAATCACAGAGGCCAATGTGTTCAGAAAAAAATATCGTTTGTAAATGTTTCTCACACTTTTCTTGCATGCGTGCACTTTTCCCCTCAACGGAACGAAAAAAGAAAGAAGATGCCAATGGTTTCAAGAAACCTGCAAACTTTGCCAACCGCCCTTGACATTACGCTCTGTTCTGTGGAACGCAGCGTTTACTGAAACGTAGAGTAGACTGAAGGAAGGACTTCGCTTTTCGTACTTTTAGCTCGTTCAAAAAGGTTGTCTGCAGAGCTCGGACGGATTCCGAGTTTCGCCAAAGTCGGCCACACCGCAAAGCATCCCAAATAAATCATTGCTGCAAGCCATCACGCTGAGGCTAATATTCCACGCAACAATATCATGACGGGAGACCAGCAGGTAGCAACCACAATGTCAGGCATAAAACAACACAAAATGAGTAGCTACTGCTTACCAAGGGGCCAAGTTGTAACGGTGGCTCTGGCGGGGCTGCCATATTCACGATTCCCTGGCTTCCTCTCCAGCGACAGCACTACCTCAACTTCGTACTCGGTGCCTGAGCTGAGATTCCCGATTGTTACCGCCTTCTCAAGCGTTCGGACAAGCCGGCTAATGCCTTTTCTCTCCACTTTCACTTCAATTTCCGGGCTCAAGTCAGGTGTCTGCAGCGGGAGCGTGAAGTTCCATTCCAAGTACAGAGAACTCGTATCATTCGACAGAATTTTTGTGATGACAGGCGTCGGAATTGCTGTGAAAATGTTTTTAAAATATGGGTGACATAACGAATGAATAAGAGAATTATGAATGAAAGGAGAGCGAAGAAATCAATTTGTGAGAGAACGAGAAAAGACAGAAAGTTCAAGGAGGATAGGAAGACGCATGTCGCATTTCAACCCTTCACGACAGAAAAAGGCACATGGGTACGACAACACAGTGGGTTGAAAGCACAATATTACTAGACTTTGAAAACAGGTTGTAAATAAAGATTTGTTTTAAATGAAGGACATATTACAGTAGAGACAACCATTTTGTGACTCATGGCAAAACAGCCAAATCTTGACAGCACGTTTTTTTTTTTATTCGCGTAATTGTTCCTCTAAGAAGAATTCATTGCGTAGTAGCTTACTTCAAATCTTCACCTAAAATATTTTGTTTATTAACACACATTTTAAAATAATTTCTGCCACTTCCATACAAAATATTGTAATGACAAATAAGGATGTCATTAGCAGTAGTTTACAGTAAGTGTGAAGAAAGTGGGCGAAACAATAACTTGCCACCAGCAGGGACCAAATCGGCATGCTTCGAATAACACGTCCGATGCGCTACGGTGGGGGTCATCTCTCAGTTCACTTTATTGGATGTACATACTTAATTAAGTATATCTAACAAAAAAAAAATGTGTATGAAAATAAAAAAACGAGCCCTTACACTAACGCCTCTTCCTTTTATTCATGGCGACAGTTTTGTTCTGGCAGACTTGATGCCTTCAGGTAGTATGCGATGGATACATTATTGGCCAGCTGCCAGCTGCTAACACGATCACGTGCTGCGTGATGCCAATAGGCAGAAAAGTGTGTTCCACACGTGCCGTAAAGGCAACGAACAGGTGGCGCTGACTGATGGTGCCACGTATGTATGCATAGATATACCTTATAAAGCGGACAGAAGGATGACTGCCCCTGTACCCAATGACACAGAATCCGACACGTTATTCGAATGTCACAAGTTTGGTTCCAGCCAGTGGCAATTTATTCTCTCGTCCATATTTCTTTCCTTACATTTACACAATAATTACTGCTTATGAAATCCGTTATACTATCATTGGCATCATTACCAGTTGATTATCATTATTATTGTAATGACAAGTGCTCCTCACGCTGAGATACCCGCCACTGCTATTGAGATTTGTCAGCCATTCGAATCTTTCTCGACTAATAGTACTCACTCAAGTTGATAGCAGAGACAGATGGCATGTACCTTTTTGTGAACACCATAATCCATGAGTACATGAAGAAGAAATTTTTACCACCTACTTAATCAAAGATAGATATGCGTACGAGAGTCTCAACAGTCGACATGGATGTATGAAAGACCCGTAGGCAAGAGTACACTTGATGGCACAGTGGGATCCATTGTTTGTTCGCAACATAGCGTAAGCCGACAGAGCCGGCGAACTGCACCGGTCTGTTTTGGTTATCTTTGCACATTTACGCCTGTGAAATGTGTGCGTGTTCACTTTCTAAAGCAAAATCAGTGACTGTAGAGGAGGCCTCGAAAACTGCTACAGTGCTTGGCATGCTTCGCGTAGTTTCTCATTACGTCGAAGCGAAATACATGTAAATTAGAAGAGGAAAATGTAGCGCGAGGAGTAATTACGTGCTCCTCACACGATAACTTGCGGAGGACTATAGTACTGTCACAGTTTGCTGTCATGTTCAAGCGCCAGCATCAATAAATGAACAATATGAATTTCCTGATAACGCTAAAGAGCCACCGCTCATACGATCGCCTCAGTATTTCGTTGCCAGCATTGTATCCCACCTACACTCTAAAACTGTGGAGGGTATCGCAGGAGTAAAAAGGCCAAGTTACTCTTCAAAGTGTTCTGCTCTCGTAGAACATCAGATAGAGTGAAATTCATTTACACTCTGCATGAAACGAGAGAGTGAAACAGCTTTCTACTCTTCCGCAGAAATGCCCATACACTCTTCAGGCACAAGAGAGTAAAACGCGATTATACTCCTGCCATTGATTACTTTTAGATGCGTTGGCACAACTCGAGTGATTATCACTACTCAATAACCACACATATATGCAGTAAAATGTACTACACTTGTTTGTTGATGCATTAGAGACTATGAACAAAGAACAGCGTTTTCAGCACACGCCAGTGAATTTCAGCGCACTGGAAGACACTTGGAACACTTAAAATCCACGTTTTTAGCTTTGAATCTGTGTAGTGAAATAAGCGAATACTATTTCATTCATTCGGTCACGATCGAAACTCAACGCAAACGGCTATGATATTCTCCTTATATTATTATTTATGTTTTTAGCTATGACCATCACACACGAGCGATGTTGCCGTAAGCCTAACGTGCGGTACGGCCACAGGGAAGTATTATGAATTTAGTCGTAGAAGGGAAACAAGAATGACAGCAAATATGGCCAAGAAGGTGAAAAACAAATAGATTGTTTAGTGTACACTACAGAAGCCTGATGTTTCGTACGCAGAAATGACTAACCACTTAGCGAGTAAGTGGAAAAGACGTTCATATAATCGATTGCGCTAATATTCATTTTTCTACTGTAAAAAAACGTGCCGGATCCATGTTTTAAACTCACGAAGCACCAACAAAACGCAGTAAACACATTGACTACAGTCCGGATGGTTTTGAGAAGCGCGTAGACACTCAAATCTATGAGCCTAAACATGAAAATGCCGACATAGCACCAACATTATTTATTACATAAAGAAATAAACGCCCATTGCCCGTCTTCAGTGTGGTGTAGTGGTTAGCGTGGCGAGCTGGCAGTCTGTGATGCGTGTAGAGATTGAAGGTTCGAGTTCCACCCAAGAATGTTTCATTTTCTTTTACATTTACTAAATTTTTTGTAGTGTTTGTATTTAGCTATCCTTAAAATTCGCGCGCGTAGAGATTCGTCAAAAACAATTAAAAAGCCCAATTCCGGCACAAGTTCTGCTATTTTCTTTCGTGAGGTGTACTGTTACTTTTTGCGGGGGTCACGCTCCTCTGCTTCGTGCAGCGATATGTTACTCTGTTGAGGGGGACTGCTTTGACCCGTTCGGGGGAATCACTGTACTATGCCTCAGCAAGAGGTGATTTACTCGGGAAAGGAGAGTGAAATATGGGACAATAAAGTATCCTCCCAAAAACAGTGTCCAGAGCTCTCTTAGCTTTGAGAGTGTATTTGTCTGTGCAAATTATGGCTGCTGTGCACTTTGCGTTTATTAGTGGGAGAAAGAAAAACGTTAGTGGTCAAGGGAAAGAGAGCAGAGAGGCTAGCCTTAACGGGGCCTCCCAATCATGAGGTGGAGGTGAGACCTTGAATCGTAACGGCATCTACGGCCAGCCTGATTGCATCATTATGGTGAGCATACCCTCCTGATGAGTCGAAATAAGGGACATCAACCAGGTACGCCCTCTGCACCTATCTCGTAGCAAACAGAATGATGCACTAACGAATCAATACAGCGTACTGTCAGAATTAATGTATTGTATACACGGATTCTTTAAAATAACCCGCAGCATGATTGAAAACCAGACAAACGTCGTTACGCGAAGCGCACCTAGTGCATATTGTCTTGAGTTTAAAGTCTACTCATTTATTTACTAATGAGTTTTAGTTATTCAGTCATAATAATGTTGCTAACTGGACAAATACTGATTACGTGATTAAAATATCAATGAGGCATATCAACGCATGCTCCAATTCCATTCGACTGCGCTATGTTTCATGATGCATTAACTCTGTGTTGCTATGTTTTTCGCTAGTAAACGAAACCCGCGAATTGTAAAAAATGACGCGTGACTAGACTCCAGCGTCCATCACGAAGCAGCGCGCTCAACTAAAAAATTTGTGTGGTAGCAAGTCAAGACTAGGCTTCCACCTTTTGCAGGTGGGAGTGTATGTTGGGTATTATTTTTCATCATTTGCATGCTTCTTTAATAGACCGGAAAGAATAGTTCGTTGCAGAAAATAGCACAGTGTCACATCATTTAAGCATGCCTATATATGCTTCCCTGATAACTTAATGATTAAGTTTCTCTCGGCACCCCCTTCTCTCTCTTTCCCTTATATCCCTCTCCCCACGTGCCGGTTAGCAAACAGGATGTAGTCTAGTTAACTTCTCTACCTAGCTTATATTCTTTTTTTCTATCTTGATTATTAGGTCAGTACTTCCTAAGTTACAAAGATAATTAGCACTAACTAGCCATACTACATTCATGAAAACATCATCAGTGGCTACTGTAGTAAAATGCCGACAATATGCATTAAGTGTGCTTCACGCAACAACTTTGTTCTTTTTTTATCGTGGTGATTCACATCTGGGACACTATGTATTTTTGGCTGGCCGATTTGTTCGGATTTTTCAGCTCTATTTATTTACATGCTTTCGATGTCATAAAAATTGTTTGCTTTTTTCTCATACGTTACCGTATGAACTCTCCACAAAGCTACCGTTCTCGAGTTGTAGCGTGTAGCTGCAGGAGACACTGTAAAATTTCCACAATCGAAACGCCAGAAGAACGGCGTCACACATGCTAGCGCGTGGTGTATCAGCTGTTTCCGGAGCATGTCCGAGTTGATGCCTGCCGTTATGACTTGTAGATTGCTGATGCTGATGCTGATGACCTCTGATGGATGGCGCTTACCCACAAAGGGGGATGGGCCAAGAACCGGGCGGCAGGATACTTAAATGAAACTAAACTGAAAATCAAGCCAATCTGAAAAAGTAGCTTAAAATAATACTACCAAAAAACAAAAATGTGTGCTGAGCAAGCGGTCAAACCATCTTTTGTTTTTGAAAGACATAACTACGAATTATAAACTAAAGATCTGAAAAGGTAGTGGTTCACTATAGCATGGTAATCTTTTAGTTGCGTTGATGTAATCAAACACAGCGGAGCATACATCCCTGTGGCAGTAACCAAATGAAGTTCCGCCAAGTGATAAAATTACTGGTAAATTTACTTGTATTCCTAGCTTTTGTAATGGGGCTACCAAAAATCTTTTTCTCTGATAAGAATAACGATGACAGAATAAAAAGAAATGATCGATTGTTTCAATTTCGTTGCACCAAATGCATAGCGGTGACGCCTTGAGCTGAGCTTTATTAAGGTAATAATTTAGTTGTGGAACTGCACAGCGCAATCTGGTATAAGTGACCTCTAACTGGCGAGATACACACCACTGTTTATTCCAGCAATAGCTCAAATGCTCGAAATCTTTGAATTTATCCAAATTACCTTTTCCCCATTGCAGGCAAGCATTTCGGAACCTTAGCGCGGTTACGTAAGCCGTATCTGGCAAAACTGGGATGGTGGGCCCACCCAGAGATACTGCTGCTAAAGAGTCCGCCATTTCGTTCAAATATAAACCGCGGTGGCCTGGTACCCATAGCAAATGCAGTTTTTTTACGTTTTTCGGTACTAAATGCCGAAACGTATTCATCAGCTCTGAATTTACTGCCGCAGAAAGTGCATTACAAACTGATAACGAATCTGTAATGATAACTGCTAATGATTCGCGTGAGGGTGATTTGCGTAGGGCAAGAACAATGGCCAATAATTCTGCCATGAATACCGGGGTATAATCTGGGAGTCGAATCGAAAAGGACCAGTCCAAAGAAGGAGAGAAGATGCCAACCCCAGCCTTTTCTTTTGACACAGATGCATCAGTCGCTATAATATTGCTTATCTCTAGGTGGGCTAGATAATCTGCTAACTGGTCATTTAAATACCTATATGCCAATTGTTGCAGATTGTGAGCCTTAGGAACGAGCTGAATCCCCATACATACCCACTATAGAAAGTCGATGCGACCTTCTATAGAAGGTCGCATTGACCCATTACAGGAAAACACGCATGGTTTAACTCATTTTATGAATATATCTTCAACGTAATTGTCGGCCGAATATTGATCCTTCCCCGATGTTTCACATTTATTTAAGTATTCTGCTACCAATAAATAATTGGTTTCTTCAGCTTCCTGTAACTTGAAAAACGTGTCTTATAATACCTTGACGCTACCTACCAATAAATACTTGGTTTCTTCAGCTTCCTGTAACTTGAAAAACGTGTCTTATAATACCTGGACGCCATTGTAGGCTACAATTGCATATTAGTAAATGTACCACCTTTTTCAGTCCTAGTTTTTTATTTTGCCCAAACAACCTTGTTTTCTTATATAATAGGCTTTGTCAGTGCGGCGTTCTCTGGAACCTAATAATATTATTGGGGGCTTTAGGTGTCACAACCACTCTAGCTTGACGCAGACTTCGGCTGAGCATGTGGCATCTCACCTGAAGGAGGTGTTGTGAAAAGCAGGGTTGCCTCACCGCTGCATGCGTTCGTACCACATGCCTTCACTTCGACTGCGTACTCGACCGAGGGCGAGAGATTGAACATAGGAATCCTGTAGGATGACGATTCCTCCGAACTTCCGTCGACCACGATGCTCGAAAACATGAGGCGGGTGTCGTGAACAGCATCTTGGTGATTGACCCGACCATAAGGATAAACGGGAGATGGGAGATACTGTTGGCCATAGTTGGGCGAAGACTGGCTTGGCGGTTCCCATGGTGCGTAGGTGGACCGCAAAATCTGCGAGGTTTGCGAGATGAAGTTATGGCAGAGCAGTAAAAAAATTCAGGAAGCACTCACTCATTGTGAAATCAATTTCGTACATTGGGGTATAAGGGGAGTAGGAGCCTGATTCAGAATATTCATGGACGTCGTAGTGTAAGTTGAGAAGTTCTTTGCATATCATGGTCCTTATATTAGTGCCACCTGGTAGCTGGTTGAAGACCTTTCAGCATGTCTGTGGCTGTTTGTCTTCTACATTAAAGTCGTTAACTATGTAATGAGACAAGTCGCTCCAGTTTATCCCAGTGATTTCCCGCCATTGTACATTGGAATATATGGTATCGCGCTGTTAAGCACGAAGGTGCAGGTTCAATTTCCGCGCATGGCTGCTGCGTTTAACCTGTGATGACAGCAAAGAATGCACGTTGGCTTCAATTTAGGTTTCCGTTAACAACCCAAATGTTCGAAGTATACCACTTCCTCCTTCAAGCCTTCGCCATGATCGTATCCCAGCTAATACTACCTTGTTATAAAACTTTCAAACTATACTGCATTCAACCTGTGGCACATAGGAGCACAATAAAGGCAGCGATGTACGTGTATGTGTCACACATGACTTCAATTTTGATAGTTGGAGTTTGACGCCACCCAAAACTACGATACAGTGGAACATCCATGATACGATCACAGCTCATATGAATTTCATGGTGATACGACTTTCTCTTTGGTCCCGGCCGAGGCTCATTGGCCTGCAATGTAATAAAGTGATTGTTCGGAACCAATCCCCCTCCCCATGAAGTTTGCTACGAACATACGCTACCGCCCACGTATGACGAGGTGCTGTCCGTGTTGTCGCGGAAGACGCGCCGAGCACGTCCGAGTGCTAGAACGCAATCGCGGACATGCGCACCACACAGCGAGAACGTCAGAATCACGGCGTAAGAAAAATACGCTTGTTATTGGCAGAATAAACCTTCAGACACGCGTCACGGCATCAAAGGTTGTGTTCGCGATTTTTTGACGCTCTATTGTACCTCCTGTAGCTTCGCGTTTAGATTACAGAGGGCATTGGCGCTTTGCTTTATTTCCCAGCGTGTCAACGCAGGCTGCTGTCGCTGTACTGTGCGTACACGTGCCTGCCGCCCTCATTAGACATCTTTGAAAGATGAACTAGGACCAAAATAAGGCGAGGACGCGCTTGGCGAACTAGTCAGGCCTCAACTTGGCAAGACACGTGACTTTTTAAGCAGCACTTGCGCGGGCACAATTGTATATCTCCAAAGAATTATCCGCGACATCTCCGCGATAAGGAAATCATGCCATGGAATTGTGATTTTGAAATTTTAAATCATTGATCTATGACGTCAAAGTGCTTTTTCTGTTAGTATCGCTGCAGTGGTGTAGTATTATGCTACAAAGCATAGTAATACTTTTAAAGCGGCTACTGCTGTCGTGGGCTCAACGCTCCATTAACTCAGTATGCGCATACGGGTCATATATTAGCGCTGACATAACTACGGATATGTGACTATCATTGATAGTTCTTCCTAAAATCACTGTGGTCCGGAAAAACAATTTATAGAATGGTTGCCTCCTTTCAGGTGTTGCAGGCTTTCTGCTAATGTGAATTCCTGACCAAAGGAGTATTTTTGCTGGTCCTGGGAGATTCGTATCACCCAAGCTTCACTTCATAACTATGAGAGCCAGGTAGAAGAGGCCTCCGGAAATTTTGACCACCCGGGATTCTTTAAGACGACCCTAAATTAAAGTAGTCGGGCCTCAAGCATTTTCAACACCAACGGAAACGCGGCTGTCGTGGCAGCGACTCGATCCTGTGACCTGCAGGTTAACACTCAGGCATCATAACTATTAGACCAGCGCGTGCGGGTACCTCACAAGAATGAGGCACGTGTTCGTCCTGTAAGCGACAGGAACGTCATGTTATTTATGTGGTGACATGTCCGTTAGGTTATCATACATTATTGTCATCCTATGCGGAATTTCATAAAAACCAAGTAAGCAGACACCGGGAGAGCAGAAAATCAGTCACATAATAGATAGATAGAATATCATCATCATCAGCCTAACTGCGTCTACTGCAGGACAAAGGCATCTCCCATGTTCTGCCAGTCAACTCAGTCCTGTGCTTGCTGCTGCCAATTTATACCCACAAACTTCTTAATCTCATCTGCCCACCTAACCATCTGTCTCCCCCTAACCCTCTTGCCTTCTCTAGGAATCCAGTTAGTTACCCTTAATGACCAGCGGTTATCTTCTCTACGTGCTACATGTCCGGCCCATGTCTATTTCCTCTTCTTGATTTCAACTATGATATCCTTAAACCCAGTTTGATCCCTAATCCACTCTGCTCTCTTCTTGTCTCTTAAGGTTACACCTACCATTTTCTTTTCCATTGCTTGCCACGTCGTCCAGAATGGAACCTGAACCCTCTTGGTAAGACCCTCTTGGTAAGAAGTGGTTTCTGCTCCGTAGCTGAATACCGGCAAGATGCAGCTGTTATATACCTTCCTCTTAATGTATAGCGGTAATCTACCAATCATCATTTGAGAGTGCTTGCGAAATGTGCTTCACCCCATTCTTATTCTTCTAGTTACTTCTGTCTCATGGTTCCGCTCCGCGGTTATTACCTGTCCTAAGTAGACATAGGCTTTTGCAACCTCAAGTGCAGTATTACCGGTCTAGAAGCGCTCTTCTCTTCCGAGGTTATTGTACATTACTTTCGTTTTCTGCAGAGCAATTTTAAGACCTACTTTTCTGTTCTCCTTGTCTAACTCCGTAATCATGAGTTGCGATTCGTCCTCTGAGTTACTCAGCAATGCAATGTCATCGGCAAAGATCAGGTTACTAAGGTACTCTCTAAGGTACTAAGAATGGGCTTAGTTTTTTTTTTCATTTCTAGAAATTGAAATAAATGAAACTGCGGCAATATTTTATTTCCCGAAAGAGAATTTAAATAAAAATGAGGTTCTGTTTCGGCAAGTCTGGTTCATTGCATAAGCCACTGCGGTCAACTAACATATGCAGTAGGAAGCTTCACGATAAACTGTGGTAACATATCCGAATAATAATGAATGTTGCGATCTATCTATCTATCTATCAATCTATCTATATATATCTACCTACCTACCTACCTACCTACTTGCCTTCGCTTCCTGATCGCTGCTGATTCGGCTGTGACTTCAATGGGAACTCACAATGGGCAGCCACTTTTTGCGTGCCATACAACCATCTTAGCTCCTTATTCGTCTGCCAATATTATAATACAAAATTTCGTTTGGTGCTAAAAGTTAATTGCAGATACTGCCGTCACAGCAAACACAAAGAAAGTTTAGAGAACAGTTATGCATTAGTTGTAGGCATAACAGGAAGAGCACTTGAGCCTAACATAATAGTTACGCGAATTCTCATAATTAGGTCAGTGCGACAATTGAGCTGTACGACGGATTCGGTGGAGTTTGGCACAGGAAGTGTTTTGGCAAAGCAGCAGTTTGCCCAAAGATTACGTGAGAAATGTCAAATATTTTGTGTTACCACACCGTAACTTACCGCAAATTTTCGCACAGGACTAGCAGCCTCCCAAGAAATGATAACGCTAGTTGGATCAATGGTCTCCGCTGATAAGTTAGCGGGAGCTGCAAGACATGAAATAATTAGAGTCAATAATTAGGTATATACATACTATGACAGCCATATAAAAATAAAGAACTGCAGAGGAGCATGACTAGAAAAAACATGCACCAAAAAGAAAAACAAAAAATGTACTTGAAAAAAGAGACACCAAATGTTATGGCACCGGGTAATAACTCAAAGAAGCAAAGTGAGGAAAGTCAAACGGAGTGTAATGATGAGTAATTCTTCGGTACAAGAAAACAAAAGGGAACTACACATGAAAAAAGTGTCAAAAAACTTGAAGAACCTGTCAAATCATGTTATGTCTCAAAGCTTGTAAAGTAACTATGACTGACAAATATTAAAATATGTTGACTAAAAATTAGGTATCCACAAACTTGTATTTTCTGGACGACTGAAGTTGCCTATGGAAGGCGGGAACACAAAAGTTCATGCTTTCTAGCTAATCTTTCTCGACTAGAGAGTATTTTGGGCAGCTCAAGCTACCATGAAAAGTATTGTAACAATACTGATTGTTGGCATTGTTGGTACTTTCTTAATGACATAGTTGGGCCGCAAATATCACAAACGCAGAACGAAAGAACACACAACGACAAGCACACGTGGCACTTCTAACTGAAGTACACCGAGCGCAAACCCAAACCCAAGTAACAACATACACACAAGCGCATTCTTCACACAGCCTTCACACGCTATCCATCTATCGAACAATCTCTTCTCCAATACATACAACGTCATCGACGTGTCGCTGATACACCTTACTCCTTGTTAATGTAATAGGCTTCCATCAACTCACATGCAGTTTGTACCTACTACGGCTTAGAATCTTAAACTCTTTAAAACGTGGTACACTGCCCCAGGCTATGCAATGCATAGGTAAATGCGCCAAGCCATCCTTCTGCCGATTTAATTTATGCTCTCTTACCCATTCATTAATACAGCGCCCGGTGGTCCCGATGTACGAGTTGCCATACGAAAGAGAAATTTCATAAACAACACCTTTAGCACATTCCTCGTACGTCATGTCATGTTTCTTGCCGCATCCCTGACGGCTCACCTCCTCCCGAGCATTTCTCGGGCACAGCTGAGCCAGTTTTCTGGGCACCGAAAAGACGACAGGTACCCCATACCAACCTGCAACCTTTTTCAGGTTGTGGGAGACCTTATGAACATAAGGAATCACTGCAGGTTCCAGGGTTTCGGTTTTTCGCTCGCCCGTGGCAGCTCTAGTACCTCCACTCTTTGCTTTCCGCAAAAGCGCTTCGGAGACAGCTGTCAGTAACGGGTCAGGGAAATTCGCCGCTTCAAGTCGTTGAATCTGGTTTTCGAATGATTACTGCATCCTGTGCGATCACAATTGTTTAAGAAGAGATCCCAGGCAGAGCATAGAAATACCACGCTTTACTATTTTCAACTGGCACGAGTCATACGGCAGTACGCTTTGATGGCACAAGGAAACTATTATCAGCATGTTTGCTCGTTATGGAACGGTAAACGAAGATCTAGTAATTGCAGGATGTTACATTGTGGTAGTTCTTGTGTAAAAACCAGCCATTTTCCGTGAGTCTCAAACATATATTTTTTTTAATTCATCGCAGCTTGCCAAAAAGCCATGTCTGTTAAAAAGAAATAAAAAGTCATCCGTATAGCTAAAAATCTTAGCAACGTTCAAGGTGCTACCCCGATTAAAAGGTTTGTCGAGCAACCAGTCTACATTAGATGAAAATATATTGTTCAAGTTCATTGAGGCACTATGTGTAAACTCAGTATATTCCCATGTTGGGTCTTGTATGTTATATATAGGCCATGTTGAGTCGGTATTATGTAAAGTAGCTTTGGACATTACTGCATAAATAAACTACAGCGGATGACACCTCCCTACATTGGATGTTAACCCGACGTGACGGCTGTATCGTAAGAGTACAAATGTATTTTTTTTCTGAAATTGCAATGCCTGCCCTGCAACAATAATTGGAGTTTCACAAACATTATGGTCTGTTTGAAAGGTGGTCCCGAGACCTGATGTGGCTCTGATTGATTGATATGTGGGGTTTAACGTCCCAAAACCACTATATGATTATGAGAGACGCCGTAGTGGAGGGCTCCGGAAATTTAGACCACCTGGGGTTCTTTAACGTGCACCCAAATCTGAGCACACGGGCCTACAACATTTCCGCCTCCATCGGAAATGCAGCCGCCGCAGCCGGGATTTGAACCCGCGCCCTGCGGGTCAGCAGCCGAGTACCTTAGCCACTAGACCACCGCGGCGGGGCCTGATGTGGCTCTGGGTGGAATACTTGATTGCCACGCAGAATGCAAGGGTTCGATTCCTGCTGGGTCGATGACTTTTATTCTTTGTATTCGTTCGGTTAACGCTGCCGATGCCCACTTTTTCTCAATGGTCAAGAGTTAAAATTACCCATGTGCGCTCTCGCTGTTTTTGGATGGATATAAACTGTCACACACGTGTGACACATGCCCGCATACCAGTGCTCATACGCGTCCCCGGATATGTGCCACTGTCTTTAGATGTGTCGAGCTTATAGTCAAGCTCAATCCGGTGTGTGGCGTGACCATCCTTATGGCGCATGTGCGTCCTCTCCCCCTCTCCTACGCTCTTCCTCTGTCTCCCCTTGGCATCCCTCTGAGCGGTGTTTACACCCCCATTGCACATGCGTGCCCCCTCCTCTTCTACGCTACCCCTCTCTCACCTCGCAACTCCGATGCAGGCAGCGTCTGCTAGCGAGTTATTTTATTTGAAAAACCGACTGCTCGCGCTACACAATTGTACACTGGCCATACTATATAAAGGCGCTGAAGCTGACTCTCCAAGGTAGTGCTCATGGTGGATGTTTTGTGTGCGTTGTGTGACAATAAAATTTTGCAGCGTGCGCGTTAATTGAAACCAGAGAGCGGGTACCTTTGTCCAATCGCTGTCTTTGGTTTCTTATTGCCCATTAGCAAAGATTGGCAGGTTTCAGTAGAAAACACCGGTCCATCATTACTTGTTTTGCGCATTCCCAGGCTTTTCTCCTGCACAACGTCGCGATGGCCGCCAGCGTCAATACCGCAGGCTCTGTGAGCGTTAGCGCTCGCTGCTTCGAATTTACATAAGATCTCCATTTAGTGGGAGAATGTGTATTTTTGGAAAGTGTTTGACGGCTTACTTGACGGTATTGTGACATAATCCATGTCAAGAACAGTCGTATTCGTCAAAAACATTTACCCTCCTATAGTAATTTTGGGTTACCTCAAGTTCAATTCAATTTCAAATCAATTTTAATTTCCAGTATATATATTCTGGATGGTTCCGTTGAGTTAAAAGCAACAAAAGTAGCTTGAGGAAACTTAACGTCCAGATTATACTATACTATACAAGGCGCAGTCTAGTGCAGTGGCGAGCAAACAAGCAAGTAAAACCATTCGAATAGATTATCATATGTACATATACATCGGGTTAGACGTATTTCCTGCGTGAGAACTTAAGAAAGTTAAGAGGGCGATTATGAGAGCACCGCGACGTAAGCGGCTAGCTAGCTAGCTAGCTAGCCGCTTACGTCGCGGTGTTCTCATAATCGCCCTCTTAACTAGTGCTCTTAACTACGTCGCGGTGCTCTCATAATCGCCCTCTTAACTAATCGCCCTCTTAACTAACTAACTAACTAACTAACTAACTAAGTAACTAACTAACTAACTAACTAACTAACTAGCTAGCTAGCTAGCTAGCTAGCTAGCTAGATAGATAGATAGATAGATAGATAGATAGATAGATAGATAGATAGATAGATAGATAGATAGATAGATAGATAGATAGATAGATAGATAGATAGATAGATAGATAGATAGATAGATAGATAGATAGATAGATAGATAGATAGATAGATAGATAGATGGATGGATGGATGGATGGATGGATGGATGGATGGATGGATGGATGGATGGATGGATGGATGGATGGATGGATGGATGGATGGATGGATGGATGGACGGACGGACGGACGGACGGACGGACGGACGGACGGACGGACGGACGGACGGACGGACGGACGGACGGACGCTGAACGTGAATACAGTACGGAAAGAATCATTTGAAGGAAACGAGATTCATAAGGGTATGTTATGCCACCAAATTGAGCAATCATTTCTTGGAGAGTAGTTTACATAGTAAAAAAAAAGAAGCTGGACTCTGCCATATTCTGCTAACGGAAAAATATGACTGTTTTCTTGAGAATGGCATTTTAGCTTACGGCGTGCTAACAAGTTGAGCCAGATGCTCGTTGCCATAAGCAATGCTTTAGTTATAAGATTGGATTGTAGTGATAGCTAAGTATACAAGGTTGATATCCTGCGAGTAAATTCGGTATGTAGATACATCAGACTTTTTTCTACGTAGTGTATACTGTTTATCATACCTTCATAAGGCAGACTGTGCGCACTACTGAATATCAGAAGAGTTGTGCAAACTTGAAGAGGTCCTGCAACACTTTTAGAAGTAGCGAGTGTACTGCCTCGTAAATTAACCACCGAAGAGAGCTTTTTGTCCGTCAAGTGCTAATGGAGTTAGATTTGTCTCATGCACGAATTTTTTTCCTCTCTTCTCTCACTGCGATGAGCGCGGCACAAGCCAAGCTGGGGGGAATGGCATGAGGTAAAGAATTCACATCATGCATGCGTTAATTGATTAGGCATAGTTTCAATTTTTTTGTGAACGTGCGGCTTACTTTCACTGTAATCGTGAGCGTGCACTCGGGCACGAGGTGGCCTCAATTGGCAGTCATGGTATCAACGCAGCTAGCGATGATCTGATCAGGCCATGGCAGTGACTTCGGGTGCTTGATGTCTTTATTTCGATATATGCCTTCACCTTATTTTGAGAGGAAATTAGAAATTAGGTTTTTGTGCCCGTAAGTAGTTTGTTACATGAAGACTGTATTACTGCATATTTTCATCAATTGTAATTGATTTCGTGTCAGCGTATTTCCTTTAAAAAGGGTTCCAGTGATCTTGTATCTATCACTTTACGGTGCTTTAGTGCAGGTGTTTGACTCACCGACAGGAGTAGTTTCCAATGTGACAGATGTCTCGGGGCCGACGAGATCTTCTCCGAATTCTCCAGCTCCCCGTGCGCTGGAAAACAGTGTGTATTCACGTCCGGGCTTTAGAGGCAGCTTGACATCGAGGTCTTTAGTGGTTCCCGGCATGTCAACAGGCAAATTGAAATCCCTCGCTGTTTCATTGAGTTCCCCCTTTTGTTCCCATCGTAGACGAAATCCCACTGGATTAGAGTTCCAAGACACTGGTTCGAGGATTGTTACGGTGAGCTCTTCCGCACTTCCGTTCTGTATTTCCGACTGGGGATAAAGGATAATATTCTTCGGGGCTCCCGGAGCTGTAAAGAATGGCGCACCAAGGAAACTATTGGTGAAAGTACTTTACATTAGCTTACCTAAATAAAAAAACGATATCAAGAAGGAAAATGAATACGAGAGGAAATACAACTGGTTACGAGAGGAAATACAACTGGTCACAGCTTGGAGGTCAACCAACGTCTTCGCAATTCGCGTGCCACTCACTTATCCTTGGGGCATTGCGGTGCCATTTTCATGAGATTTGGCTTGAGTACTTGTGTCTGATATTACTGAAGTATTCTAAGCTTGTGTCATCTGTTATTTAGTTAATGGCAGTAGACTGCAGAAGACGTGGTTCATGTAATATATTCCAGCGATTTGCATTCCAAACTTTTTGAACATGATAAATCACAGTCCAAATGCCGGTGTTTTACTACAGGTTTAATAGGGCCTTCAGTGCACACTGAATGTAACTGACTATTATTCTTATCTCAATATCTGAGGCGTACTTCTTTGAGTGAAGGTGTTTCTAGCTGCGGTAGTTAAAAATTACATGAGCATGTTTTGAATGGTTGCGTTTCGCATGGTACAAAACAAGTGCTCGTCTGAACTTCTAAAAGTGTACCATGCAAAATATACAATCATGTCGGTACATCAGGTGTTCATCTAAAAATAAAATACAGCAACTAATGCGACATACAAGAACTCTGTAGCACTCTCATTTGACGACACAATGGCACTTATACTTCTAAAGGGCCACTCACCAGGTTTCACAATTTTGAGCTGACAAGCACAATGCATACATGGGGCGTGAACGATCACGTCTGCTGACATTTGCAAAGCTACGTTCCGTGGAAATAGATGAAATTTCAAGACAAACGCTGCTTTTCCTTCTTTTGACGGGCGCGTGCACAAATAATAGGGCATGACGTACATGCCCGAATTTCCCTTCGTAGACGGCAGTGCTGTGACGTCGGCCTTCTACATAGACGTTTGTGCTGTGACGTAGCGAACAGTAGCACGTGTCATGACGAAAGTTATTTAAACTGTGCAGTTTTTGAATAGATGAATAAAACTTTACATAAATCAGGAGACACAAAAATGGAATGTCTTTTTCATTTTTCTTCGTGAATTGAAAATGTGGAGCTAATGTGCCTGTGTTTCGCATGCGTTTGTGTCCTCTTGGTTAGCGCACCGAGCAGATGCCAGCCCTGAAAACAAAATTAATGGTTCTGTGCGTCAAGGCTTTTGAGCTCACCTCCTCCCATCATCTTTTTCACGCCGCTTCAAAATATCAGGGATGCTATGCAGTGAGATCCGAGCTTCTCGGGCAGACAAGTTTGCTCCGAGCTTACTCTGCGGTGGCCATGACATCTCATCTGATCTAGTGCGTCTAAACCAGCGTCCCCAAGCGCACACTGAGGCATCCATCCGACTGAAACAGGCATTAGGCCACAAAATAGCACTAATCAACAAAACAACGCCGCTCGCGTGCTGCGGGGTTAGACTTGCTCGGGAACGTTATGCGCAAGTGACATTTGATAGAATGCCGGAGAGGATAGTGAAGAGATATGGCTTGTGAAGGCCACGCGGGCCGAGCGGCAAGGGTTTTGAGCTCGCCTTCTCCCATCATATTTTCGCGTTGCTTAAAAATATCAGGGATGCTATGCAGTATGATCCGAGCTTCTCGGGCAGACGAGTTAGCTCCGAGCTTACTCTGCGGCGGCCATGACATCAAGACAGTGTGGAGCGCGTGATAGCAGCGTTGATAAAAAAAAAATGCCTCCACCTCCCCGAAGGGAATTGCGAGGAAATGCTAATACATTGCGTAGCGGCTATGGCGGCGTTTCGCACGTGAAAACCCAGCGTTAGACGAATGATGTTTCCTTTTTTTTCTTACAACGTGCAGCCAAAAGCGCCGTTTGCCGCAGGTGGCGTATTTCTGTCGCGAGAAACGTGGTATGCGTTTCGAGATCTAGTGGCTAGCGTACACGTTTAAAAATACTATGAAGTGAACCAAACAAACAGTGTTCTCGGCTCGGCGTTGGCGGTTCGCAGCGGCGTGTTGAGCACACATTCCGGGGTGTTCTTGATAGGCGCCCAGACAGCGAACGGTCGAGAGTGTGGCGCAATCCGACGGGAAAGTGGGGCGCAGTGAGGAGTGAGAGTGAACAGAGAGACATGGTGGGGGCTCCGGATGCTGGGAACGCGCGCGCCCGCAGCGGTTGCTATGGGCGAAGGCGGTGGACGGATCCCGACGGACGCCTCTACCATGGACGCCTCACATAGCCAGACTAAGGAATGCATTCGCATTTCAAATGGCTACAGGAACGCGTGTGGCGTAAGACGCATGTGGGACATTTGCGGCGGTTATTAAAGAAATGCCGCGTGCGAACACGTCAACGCCGCCACTCAGTTGACATTTTAACAGTGCAGTGATGTCAGCGTGATTGTTTTGCTATCTTTTTGCCAACTCAACACGCACCTACCAGAGGTGTGTTCGTGGGTGTTTCTCCTCTTTCTGACAGGTCCTTTCGTTCCATTCGCAGCATGGAAATTTCCGCTCTCGAAGGCAGCAAGGGTGCACACGCAACACTCTCGTACTGCTTTTCGCTTATATCCACTATTGCAGATAAATATAGTGCAGGTGGTCACCAGGGGCACTCGCATCACGATGGCAACGCGGCTGCGATTGAATACGTCGTGAATGCGAATACATAGTGAGCCGTGTGATGATATCATTTTTACTTCTTCGTTCGTGTGTGCATAGTCTGCGCGATGAAGTTGATAGATTAATCGTGCCTTTCGACGAGAGCACTGCCCCTCAGCAACAGCAAGCGCCGTGGGCTTGTCCGATCTTCGCCGCGGGAATCTGTCAATCTAACAGATGGGCGCGTGAACTCGGCTACAAATTCGTTGATTTTGAGAAGGCACCCGTTCTACTCGTGACTGTGATAGGGACGGCTGCGGCGAACCCTAAGCGGCAGCTTCTTCGCATATCAAATAATTTTGTGAGCTAGCATTACTTGTGCAAGGCTGGAGCCGCAAACCTGGAGCTTGAGCTCGGAATAACCTAGCTTCTTGCAGCCTTTTAAGTTGGTTGTCTTCTCATGTGCTTTGCTTCGAAGTGAGGACCGCATCAGCTCTGTCTCAATTAATTGTACCAACTGAATAACGCTCAACGACCATTACACTGGGCTGTTTCGTCTTCATTGATAAGGTTTCAAATAAAGGGTAATCTCGGGCACAATTAGCAAGGCCATGATCAGTATGAAGCTTTTAAACGTAATCCTGAGTAGCACAATACTGATTCTTATCATATCAGTAAACTTCGATGATCATGGTTTTTCTTAGCGTGCTCATGAATAACGTAGTGTTAATTAGCAAGGTTTAGTTAGCTAATCAAGTAACAAGCTTTAGTTAGCCCAGCCCGAGCTTTACATGACTTTTCTAGCATAGTCTTTTTGAGAAGTGGCATAATTACCACGGCCCAGATGCGTAGGCAGAAATTTTTTCGAGGGGGCGCACGTCCTTTATTTTGGGAGAGGCATCCCCTTGAAACGGTCATTTTCGGCGTGAAGCTCTTTAAGCCGTGGGTCTCTACATGTTTGTCTCTCTTCGTACGTGACCGCCTAGTTCTATGACTCACTCATCAAGTGTGGACGGACGGATGGACGGACGGACGGACGGACGGACGGATGGACAGACAGACAGACAGACAGACAGACAGACAGACAGACAGACAGACAGACAGACAGACAGACAGATGAACGGACGGATGGATGGACGGAAAGACTGAGAGTTGGATGGCTAATTCAAAACTCTGAAAGATACCTAGTTTCCCGAAACTCGGTTGAAACTCGGCCGATCCTGCATAGCACCGCAGTTTTCTCAGCTCGTAATGAACCCAGCGAAAAATTTCTGTTGCATCATGCTCTTTATCGGACACACAATTGCTACGATGCAACTAATATTTATTTTGGGGCCTGATGTTTATTCCTTCAAGTGTTTAACTGCAGTCAAAAAGTGTAAGCGGTAGGTCCCATTCACCAACAAATTTTTATCTAATCAGGCCACAATGGCGGCATAGTTAGAATATATAATTAACTAAAGCGAATGCACATCTTTAAACTACAGGTTTGACACACAGTAATGAAGAGATGGCTGGAGTTTTATGCTGCAACACATTGGAACACAAGTTGTATGAGTGAGAAAATTATCACAAAATGAACAACTGTGGCTCTCCCTTTGAGTTTCGGCAAAAAACGTTCACCAAATAGAAAGAATTTAGTGTACCTAATGTTTCGGGATGACATCAATAGGGTGTTTTGACACGCACATAGTCTTTGTCAACCATTTCACATCACTCACTTAAGCTGAATTAGCTTCAACCAGTAATTGCTGGCCTCTCATGAGGTCTACCTGAAACTGGCATTTGTGCGAGAAAATAATCTTCGTGACGAGTACTGGATGGCTGAGCCACAATGAATCAGTCCGATGTAAGACTGCCTGCAGCCTTATTTAGCGGTACAGGGTCGGACAACAGGCGTGCCCACGAAAGCTTAGGTGTGTAAACGCAAATTATGCCGCCTATACTGAAATCACACGAAAAATTGCTACCTGGGTTTTGGGATATTATAAATCGAATGGTTATGAGACGTCGCATCGAAACAAACAACCCAACACACAATAATAATTGCAAGAAAACGCTTACCGGTAGCTGGAGTTCGCACGGTCAACAGCACCGCCTTCCCAAGTTTTGGATGGTCGTCAGAGTGCCCGTAGAAGGGCCGAAGCGTAATATTGTACTGGGTGTATCCCCTGAGGCAGTCAGGCGAGTATTCACTAATCAAGGGTGACAGCGTTCTCTGAAAAGTGTGGTGCGAGCTGGCACCACGTAAGTAGTAGCCCGCCAAGTCAGAGCTCTGTGGCACGCTCCACGTCCACGAAAGAAGTAGGGAGCCGTTCGTGTGAGTGAGGCTGCTCAACTCTGGTGGATGTATAAGCATGTAGTCTGGTGCTGGAAGCAGAAGAAGAGATTATAGTAATGCTAGGTAATAGGTTTTTTCATATCGAAAAAACACCAAACAAACCCCTCTATAATGTATACTGCCCCGAAGTTTTGACGAAATGCGCAGAATACAGGCTTGTAAGTATTGAACAGTTTCTTGAGCTCACCTGCGTCCATCAATATGAACACTATTAGTGCGGCAGTAGCGGCAAGCACAACCCTTGGTCGACAATTGTCTGACCTTCACATGAAGCACGTCGGCATTCGTACCCGCCTGATCGAGTGCTCAAGCGTGTTCGCTGCTGCTACATTTAAATTTAAAAAAAAGCCCAAGAGTTCGCATCATTCACGCAGTTTTACGAGAACGTTCCAGAGACATTGTGAAGGCTTTCTTACCTAATCGAAGCCATGGAGACGGCATTTTCATGGAAGCGATAAGTTGGAGGCTTGTGTGCTTAAGTTTAAGCACGGAGACAGGTGCAAGCTATACTACACTTCAAGCATACGAAATTTCTTAATCCTTTCACTAGAGTATCTCAATCGAACAATCAATCAATGAATCAATCAAATTTGCTTCACTTTCACTACAGCAAGATAATGAACACAAGAACAAGAACAAAAAGCGACTGCCTAGCAACTCGAAATAGGCGCTTGCCCCAATTTTCGAAAGCAGCAAAAAAATAACGCACCATTCACCTGAAGATCTACACTGCCTCATTTACAATACACATTTCTCGTTTTCATATCGAGCAGAGTAGTTAACAAAAATGAAGTTGTGAATCAAGAACAATAGAACAGAGTTATAAAATACAGGGTCTGTTTGAGCAAACAAAAGATGTTAGAAATGAAAAACAGCGCATGCACTGTTTTCAGATAGGGTATTGATAGCGCATAGATATTGCTTCGCGGTTGGTATGAGCGGTTTATTTGCAATGAGCTGGACGGCGAGCGTCAGCCAGTATTGCATGTCGTTCTTCTCATCTTTTCATCTCTGTTGCTGATGTCCCTGCTGCTTCTTCACTATAGATTAGACCCACTAACTATATATATATATATATATATATATATATATATATATATATATATATATATATGTCACTCCTACATATAAAATGACACTCCCACGTTTAAAATTGACACAGATACCAAATAAAGTGGCTGGGGGGATAGCTGTCGTGGTAGCTCATGTGGTAGAGCATCGAACACGTTATTCTAAGGTCGCAGGTTCGGATCCTGCCCACGGCAAGTTATCTTTTCGCCCACATTTTTTTCTTTACATTTGCCTTGCAATTGGCTTAATAACTTCCCCTATACTTTCCTTTGCATTATTGTCTATTGGATCTCATTATTATTGTCATGTGGTATATCATTACTCTTATTATAGACGAAAAAACGGGCCCCTAGGTATACGCTAGGTATATATATATATTAACTAGGTATATATATATATATATATATATATATATATATATATATATATATATATATATATATATATATATATATATATATATATATACACACGTCTGATGAAGATTGGTCTCCGATCGAAACGTCACCAATAAACAGTTTTTTAGAGGCGTGTGTGTGTGTGTGTGTGTGTGTGTGTGTGTGTGTGTGTGTGTGTGTGTGTGTGTGTGTGTGTGTGTGTGTGTGCGTGTGTGTGTGTGTGTGTGTAAATGGCCATTCACGTATGCCTTTATAGCTAAGCGGTTATGTGGCACACGTGACTTAATAGTTTTCATAACGAATGCACCAAGATTTTTGCACCATTCATATCATGAGCACTGAGTCACCTTCGTCGTGCCCTCCTATAGCAATTTCGGTCCACACTTAGTTATGTAACTGACCACAAGAGCACCCATATGGTGTCAGCTACATCAATAGATATGTTTATAAAGAATACCAGAAATGTTCAAATGCCTTGAGCTCACTGAGAAATACTGCGCATTCACAACAAAACAATTGATCGAAAACAATAGTATACAGGTAACGTAAAACACACATGTGCTTACGAGTGATCATTAAAAAAACTTACTCAAGAAAGAACCGCAACGGCTAATATAACTGTTGTCACACTATAGGTCATGTGGTATGCTTCGGTGACCTCACGTGTGCAATGATTATAATAATGTGTGGTGTGGTTTGGGCCAAAAAAGACATACGTCCGTATTCACGACAATGACTGCTCATGTGACAAGGCACACCTCCTTTCAAGGTGTCACCAGTATTATGCTGCAATAAAAACTCATGTGGCGGTCTATCTGGTGTAGACAATGCTGAATGAGCAAGAGATTTTATTTACCGCTCCAGTAGAACACGTGGTGGACTTATCAAAGTTCCTGACAGAGCAATGATGATATGTGGGGTTTACCGTCCCAAAACCACTATATGATTACGACAGAGCAAGCGTTATGATCTGCCCTTGTACACTCTCCCTGCTTGCTGCTGAATCTTGCCACATAGAATACCAAATTTACTGCCGCATGCAAAAAATAAACACCACAAACTTCATTCTTTCCTGAATTTTTGTCGCCTATGTAAAATGGATTCTACATTAAAAAAAAAACACCACTAACCGTTTTCGCTTTTTATGTGTTGGTTATCCTCGGATGCTCGCGCTGCCCGGGAGGCTGAAGGTACGGCGTTTTTGAGTTACTGTATACGCTATCTTTAGGCAGCAGAGTTTCACCACTGATAGAACTCGCCGCTGGAGCCCCCATTCACCAAGTGTGCTGACGTGCGCAAAAAAAAAAAAGTTCATTTTAGGGAAAGCCAACGTCACGGCCAGGTAGGTTCTCGCGACCACCGCGCCACTGGCGCCACCACCACCGCTACCCAAGCAGTCGAGCGAGGTGATCCCGCTGAGTGCGGAAGTACTTCTTCGTTGGTGTTGTTATTATGTCTTGTGTTGGCCATATTTTGTAAACGTCAGTGTTAGTGATGTCTATGTGGTGCAGTGCTGTGACTCAGTGCTGCGTAGTTGCCACGGTGACTGGATTTCACAGGTGTGCGTATAGATATGCCAAAAATTCTCGTTTGCTTGTGTTATTTGTAAAACACCGAGGTATAGCTTTAGCGATTGCTTTATTGAGCCGCCTGCTTAATGGTTTAAAGTGGCGAAAAACATGAAATGAGTGATTAGAGGAACTTTCGTTGTCACAAATAGTGTACACGTTTCTGGACAAATAAAGTGAATGCTTTCTTGTTTGCTATTTAAATGGTTTTCTATGATGACTGTCATCAAACAACTTATAGCATCAGTAATAATTAGGTACATTATACAATGGAGTTTTTTTCTTTTTTTCTTCGAAGCGAAAATCATTGTGCCAGCGATGGATTGTGAACGAGTGGTAAAACGCACGGAGCCGCGGGGCAGCGTCGGCTCCTACATTCAAAAGGAGTGGCTTTCCTGCATGGCATGGACGTCTAAGTGGGCAAGATGGTGGACCTATGAGAAACTCTGCTACCTAAAGGTAGCATATAGAGTAATTTTATGGCGTTGCTGGTAGCAGCGGTGTCTACTGACGGAGCTCACTGAAGTGGGGCGATGCGGCTTTGTGTGACTTCATGATGTGGGTGTGGACGGAAGTGTGACGAAAGACTGCTGTAGTGTAGCTGAAACATTGCGGCTGTGCTGGCTTGCTAAGCAACACCCAGTGACTGATAGATGTCCTCACGTACAACATCAGCAGACGTCGTCACGTGGGTCTGCTAGAAAAACGTACATTTCGCAACTTTTCTAGCACGAGATACCACCGCAAGTTTCATTCAAATTGTCGGAGTCTCATGCTTGAACGTGTGCGCTGCCTGGAATTGAGTGATGATTGATTGCCAGGTGTTTACTTCCAGCGTCTCCTCAATTGTCAACTCAGGGAACAAATTTCTGAAGAATGTTTGGTGGGCTCCGGATGATTCCGACAAAAATATCCTGTGTTAATTCTTAGATTAGGAAACAAGCTTTGTCTTCAACGGAATGTGAGGCTTGTCTCAGCCAGAATAGAGATTTGTAGTAGAGCTTCAACCCTCTTCTTGCCGAAGACGCTCTGATAGTGGTCATGAATGTGGTGCGGAAAGTACCCAAGTCATCAGGACTGCCTTGAAGTTTTGACCTATTTCAAGCAACGTCTACTATGATAAAATGAACATGTCGCAGCTGTTCTTCATTATTCAAATAATTAAAAATGGTGATCTGATCGTGTGCTAGGATTCAACTGTGGGTGCCTTTCAGTAGTGATCCATGAAATTTTGGTGGTTCTTTGGCTCTTCGAGCAGGATTGATATACGTGACACATGAACGGTCATTGTTGCGACTGATGTGGTCTGTCTTACAGGCTTCGTTGCTTTGTCAGGCAGAGGCCCCTATTCTAGCGGTAGTCTTTGCTGTTCAGCCGCTAGCAAGATCATTTTCTTTATGGTATGTGCATCCTTTAGTTGTCTTGTTCATGAGCGGACAAGTGTCTCCACCATTTGTCTCATTGTTTTGACGGTGAAAACGCAAGACGTAAACCCGGCAATAGTCAAGCTATTTACTGTGACAAACCTCAATAACTTCCCAGCAGATGAACTACTCACCACACGAGCAGCTCACCTATAGTGTGCTGTTTATACCTGCATCATTTTTCCACACTACCATTATTCTGTATTTAGATTACAATAAGCAATTACCTAATTAACTTTGAACAGTGGCTAAACTGCACCAATTAACTTGACGTGTTAGAAAACTACATGCAGCATGAGAAATCCCTCATGTGATTTCGACGAAACTACAAGCAATGACGCACTTAACGCTGATGTAGAATAATTGAAACCATCAAGAATATAATAAACAAATGTCTGCTACATCAATACTGTTTTAGTCTCATATATTAACCCGTAAATATTGCACTCATTTTTATAGAATACTTGAAAATTTGCCGTTTTTGTCAATTAGTGACTTTCTTTCACGTGAAACCGTGACTATCGTGTTTAATTGGCCAGAAACGTACTTACACCCATTCCTTTTTACGCCTGCCACAATTACGGGTACGTGGCGATAGTGCTGTTGCGTACGAAGTGGCTGGCAACTAATAGTTCACCCACCGCGACGTAGTAAACGAAGATTATGCGAGCATGGCGGCAGCGGATGGAAGCTGTTTATCTGCTACCACTTCCAGCATCTTTCGGCTTAGCAACATTGCGCGCGCATTTATTCAAATCGACCCCTTTTAGGTTCGCCTATAATTTTTACACGGTGATAGTGATCTAATTTACAAATAAATATTCTGAAACCAATTTGAATATTATCGCTCCAGTAGTTTAGCTAAAAAATCAGAGACATATATGTCCCACTCTATAGGGAGAAAGTTTTCAAAGCGTTGGAAAACACTGACCTACTATCTCAAGAAGACACTAACTCGAGATTGCATACACAGGTATTTTCTGTTGAAACATGCTGAAGAGGTGCCACATATTTCCACTTATTGACTGATTGATATGTGCGGTTTAGCGTCCCAAAACCACCACATGATTATGAGAGACACCTTAGTGGAGGGCTACGGAAATTTTGTCCACATGGGGTACTTTAAAGTGCACCAAATCTGAGAATATGGGCCTACAGCGTTTCCGCCTTCATCGGAAATCCAGCCGCCGCAGCCAAGATTTGATTCCGCGAACTATGGGTCAACAGCCGAGTACCTCAGTCACTAGAACACCACGGTGGGGCACAACTTATTATGTGAAGAAAAAAGCTGTGTGGGCCTCACTTCAGCAGGAGAACACAACCTGCAGTTGCGCCTCTTTCTGAGCGGGTTAACACAATCTTAGTAGTTTTTTTCATAATATCACCATGAAAAAAAAGATTACACCTGGATTGAGCAACCGATGGCTATATGTCATTGGCTGACACATAGAATTGCAAAGTGCTACTTCAACCAACTGGAAGGGTTTGAATATTGCTATGATATCTCCAAGTAGGAGTTGCAGTTCCACATTCCTGTTATTTGCTCATTAGAATGACCTATAGAGGTAAAACCAACTCCTTCACGTAAAAAAAAACTGTAAAAACCGTACATGGCTTCTTGTCCTATTTTTCTGCTTAAGTTGATGAGACGTTGGGCTTTAGGACAGCATTAAGCCATTTTGAAAAGAGGTCATCAGAAGGAGGATGATTTCTGGGCCATGAACTGGCGTTTCTGCAATCTTAGAATCTACGACAATGTGGATGTCCATCTTCAGGTGACCCAATTCAAACAACAACTGGTGAAGGACTGACCAAGAAACGCACTTTTCCGTGCATCCTTGAAAACCGTGCATCGCACATTTTCCGCGCATCCTTGAAGTGAAACGTTAATCAAGTTTACCAGTCTTCCTGTGTTTATTAGGGTTGGGACAAACGAACAAGCCTTCAGAAATTTTCAACTTTCAGCTTTTTGTGCAAGTAGCCCGATATACAATCTGTTCTCCCCCTTACCTTTCTGTCCTCTTTTCCCCTTCCAGTGTTGTCCAGTCGACTGAATCTCACTAGAATAGCTGTGTTTTCTCCCGTGTTTTCTGTTTGTCCCTCAACCTATTGCTCCAATGGTTAAGTTGCAAAAATGTGCCGGTGTATGAATTTATAGTAAAGTGAGGGTTAATTGATACGTCTGCTGAAAAGCAGGTTGGATAGAAGCTCCGCGCCATGAAATGAACCCGGTTTCGCCAGGGAGGTATAAATGTAGTCCAACAGCTTCGATGTTTCTGGTCAGATCAACTAGCAGTATTTCAATATAAAATAATGACATATTGATGCAGATGTAAGGCGTTGAGTCATGTCGTTTTGATATTGACCAGACTTTATTAAAGTTCCCCATGAAGCTCTTGTACCCATTACGACAATTTTCTCCTCTAAATAAAAAGCCTAATTTTGATGTAAGTGCAGTTTGCTAACGTTTTCATGATATGGACTTCTTGAGAGAGGGGGATGAACATAAACAACAAAATACAGGTAATAATACATAACCAACCTTCAGTAAACAACAGTTAGTACCCTTACAAATGAAATAGCAGCTACGTTAGAACACCCAAAGCAACTTGTCAGACGTTCGCATGCTACTTTGGTAGTGCCCTTAACTATCCGCCCTAAGAACTTTCTGTTGTTTGCCCCGCCGTGGTGGTCTAGTGGCTAAGGTACTCGGCTCTGACCCGCAGGTCACGGGTTCGAATCCCGGCGGCGGTGGCTGCATTTCCGATGGAGGCGGAAATGTTGTAGACCCGTGTGCTCAGATTTGGGTGCACGTTAAAAAATCCCAGGTGGTCGAAATTTCCGGAGCTCTCCACTACGGCGCGTCTCATAATCATATAGTGGATTTGGGACGTTAAACCACACATATCAATGAATACTTTCTGTTGTTTTCTTCACACATTCAATTACCTGTTTATTCGGGACAGTATAGTTGTTTTTAAGCGTGGTTATTGTATCGCAAAATCACATCATCAAAAATACCTAAATTGAAACACATTCTCGTTAAGATGAGTATATTATTAGCCAAAAGACTTAGGCTCCTCACAAATGATTCGTTTTCAATGTCGCAGCATGCGCAGATGCCCGGTTACTCTTAAATAATTGAGAAAAACGTTACGATGGGGCGAATTGGCTAAAGTGACGATGACAGTCCAACTTATGAATCTTGCGGTGGCAAATGCACGGCTCTCTATCTAGACTCATTACTAAGCTGTATAAAAATAAGCTTTTTTTTTATATGGGCATGAACGGTGTACTGGCGCCCAATAAAGCCTAAAATATTCCTGCTATTATGAATTACCCGTTGAGTATCGAGAAAACAAAAAATGCACTGAAACCTAAGGGTGGCATACGTTGAGCAAACCGAAGCAGCTCTTAATGCACCACCCGTTGAAACTTTTTTTTCCACAGGTGACAGGGGTGGAGAAGCTGATCATGCTGCAGATACGCAGGTTTTACATTGATATCCTCACCATATACGCTTCACTTGTATTGTTTTAGAAGTGAACTGACCTTTAAGTTAAAGGGAACTTGAAGCACGCTTCATGCCATCACGGGCCTCACTAATTTTTTCATGAAAGCATAAGAAAATTTCTCACCACATAACTGTCCGTCTTCGTCTTCAGAATCAGGTTCTCCGTAATATCCTTGAAGTAAAAAATCATTCGGTAATAAATATTGGCTTGGAAAAAATTAATAACTATGTGCATTAGGACCCGTTTGCTAAAAACAATGTGAAAATGAAAACACTAAGCATGTTCTGTAGTTCAACAATTACTTTACTGTTAGCTTTATAACGCAATCAAGCATCATAATTCAGAGCTCTTCAGGCTTTTTCGTGTAAAAGCCGGCAACCTAAAAAATAGATAATATGCAATTATATGGCCAAGTTTTACCTAATATTCGTAGCCTCGAAAACTGACGTGTAATGAACAGCCATCAGTCTCAAATCCCGAAGAACTTTTCAAATTCACTCTTACATTTGGCAAGAAAAGACAAAACTCCGCGAAAAAAAAACACCCCAATGACTGTCCAGAAAAGTGAATGACTTTTAGGAAGCATGGAAAAAAAGTCATTGGGGCCGCTTTGGTGAGAGGTAGTCACTGCTGGGATGACATAATGCGCTCTTGTCTCCAATTGCTGAGAAATTAAAGAAACCGAATACTTGAAAGCTACAACGAAGTGTGGGTTTAACAGCGCAGCTTAAGTGATACAGCGCATGGCCGTTCACAGTTTACGTGAGAGAGCGAAGGTTAATTCTGTACTCCTACAGCCGTCATCCACATCAAATACGTGTACAGCCAGCTTTTCCTGCTCGCATCATGTATTCTAAAAACAGAGAGTGACGTAACTGTTATTTGTGTGTGGATGGAAAAGTGAAGGGGAATAATAGTCAAGCCCAATGCAGAGTTCCCCTGCTGTCTCTAGCCAGAGTTTGAAAATATGCCGAAACATGCACTCACTACACTGCAAAAGAATATTGCTGACCGTTACCTGGATATATTCAGACTTTTTGTGTCTTCTGTGTAATTGTTTAATTAGACCCCCCCCCCTTTTTTTTTTTTGAGAAACGTTTTAAGGAACAAAGACGGGTCAAAACTTTCAACAAGAAAGTGGTAGATTGGTTCGCCAAACGCCCGATTGGACACTTTCGAACTTTTATAACTGTCAATCAGTGTTTTTCTGCTAACTTCAAATGCTCACTTAGTGCAAAAAATACCACGTCACATGCCGACTACCACGCCTACGCGTGCCGTACTTATGGTCTTGTTCAAAACTGCGACTTTTTTATAAGTATTTCTTTAGCATTATTAATGAAGTAGCATGGGAGGATCACTTATTTTTATAAAAATCTCGTTGGAGTCACCTGTGGGTGTGTTGGCGCACGTCTCTAATTACTGTCTCCCGCTGTGATTCTATGCGCGATTATGGCTCATTGTGTAATGTTAGCGGATTATTGAAAGAAGCGCTGACACGTGGTCACACCACGTGGAAATAAGTGCATCTTATCTAAATGGCGCTTTTTGTTTCTGTCAGCTTTCGGCTAATGACAACAATCTGCTTTCTTACGAAATAAAGCAGGAACCCCACCCCGCCCCCTGGGAAGAGTGGACGTGCCTCTGTGTTGTAGGGTGTTCGAAAGAAAGCTTTCCGGGCTCCTTGCCATGCATAACTGCAAACTTTTACTGATCTGTTCAGAGCAGTGGAAGCATTACGCAGAATTTCCTCTCTAAAGAGACCCTAAAAGCAAATATTAGGTCTACATTCATTGTTCAAACAGTGGTCCGGAAACTTTGCAGGGCTACTTTTGTGACAAGAAAAGTTTTTTTTCATTAAAATCCCGTTTCTGTGATTCACACGACGTTAGCAAACTCCAAATCACGTGCCTGGAAATGAACCTTCATACGTAGTAGTGTTGTCTTGCCCAGTGTTGCTCTTCTTTACTGAGCGGGCACCGACACCAATAGCAACACAGCACTGCTCGTAAGCGCACATGGCAAGCTGTGCCTTAGTTGCGGTTGATTTCGTAATCCACCACATAAAAATGCATTGAGCACACACACAGAGTTTTTGGTTATTTTGAACACTGGCCCAGAGACACGGCACTCAGCCACTTCGAGCGCAGGACTTTGTTTCGGGACACCTAGTGGGAACTAATATCCAAAAGTAAAGCAGCGTACACCAGTAGGTTATCTGGCAACATCACATGCGCGCGGCACTTTGTCAAACTTTCTATCACAACGACATTTTAAGCGTGCAAAGCACACGCAGCTGTATACGTGATACCGAAACTACCATTGAGATGTGAGTGGGTTCGGCGAAAGCGGAACTTTAGAATCCCTCGCGCCGATCACAATTGTAAAGCCACTTGGTTCATTTTTTCACGAATCAAGCAGAAATGAACAAGCAGTACTTTCGCCATGAATGAGAGATTCTTTTTTACTTCAACTGGTTTGATTACAAGTGGTTAATTGGACTCAGGACGGGAGTAGCCTTGACGACATTAAATATCCCACTCGTGGCTCATGTCATGTCATGCATTTAGCTCAATTTCTTGATAAGTCGAGCACGTATGTTCATATTATTGACGTTTTAGACGTTCTCAAACATTTATCATGTACTTTGATGTAAACTGTTATTTGCGCTTGCGTTCCTATAAAGCTTAGGCAGCAAAGATGAAGCACAGACACCGAATTTGTTATAGGAGCTAGACACTACGTGAGGCGCCCGAAACGATCAGGTAACGTTAATTTGGTAGCCCGAGAACTTTTGTTGACGTCACTCCCGCTTTTTACTACTGCGTCCGTTTCCTCCTATCGAGTTGCGGTGTGCTAAGCATTGGTGCAATTTTATTCCTATGTTTTATGGCGACGCTACTTAAATGATGACAGCAACATAAAATTGGGAACTATGATTTAGATGCGCTTAAAAATGTATATACTGAAATCTGGAACCCGTTCAGCTTCTCTTTAAAAAAAACCTTTAAGAAGAAAATGAATTTTTTCACTATAAATGAAATACCCTAGCACAATTCCAAAACCACCACCCTCGCCGTGAGAATACACTTATTAAGCAGAAAACGCACAAAAAGCAAATGCAGGTTGCGACGCCACCTGGAAATTCCTGAACGAAACACGTTGACGTCAGAAACTTCTACGCTGTCTACTAACGCCTACGAATCTGCTAATTGCTAAAAATGAAGCACATTTTCTGCTGACGGGGCCACAGAGTTAGTATGCCAAGTTTTGATAAAATTTATTGAGCCAATACCGGGGAAATACAGAAGTACACGAACATTTGTGATGACAAGCGTGCAGGCTTCCGTACAAAAGTTAAAAATGGTATTTTGACCTTGATTATCACCTATGGTAAATAACTATGATGGTAATATAAACAGAGTTAAAGTTCTCAGGAAACACGTTATGAACCTAAGGCAAGTCATTGTTTTACTTTAGTGTCCGTTTACGTCAGATGACATGAGATATGAAATAATACAAACAACTTACTGTATCTCTGCTTACAATCGAAAGTTCCATCGCAGACCTTGAAGCTTGGAACCAGAGTATTGTCTTCACGGCATCGCATGTCCTTTTCTTCGTAGGGTGTCACACCTTCTCAGAGAGTGAGGAAAGAATGACATAAAAAGAGAAAAGAAATTCAGGGTTTGAACTTCATGTGTCGCATTTGAAGGCCGTATTTTAGGCTCAACTATATTTTGTTTTAATCTAGAAGAAAGTGGAATCTTGAGACGAGGACATTTCTTGGTTTACCTGAAAGTGTTGTAGTAATTATTACTCGTAGAAACACGTAAAGTTAATAATTATTTCTTTTAGCAATTTTTTTAGAGTACTGACCTTTTTAAAGAAGCAGATGTTCATGTTTTTGTTTTATTCAGCCAGCAAAGCTCTCGTCAAATTAACAACACCACCAATCGCCAAATGTGCTGCACCTTTGTACGTGCTTTATTATTTCCCACCGAAAGATAGTTTTAACGAGAATACTTACAGCCTAATGTTGGAAATATTTATTATTAAATAAATCAATTTGTACCTCTATATATAGTTTCGCTGAAAACCCGGATTTGTAAATGATCATCAGTAGTGAAAGAAACCACTCGGCTATAACTTACTTAAGCTTTTGTTTTACCATAAACAACGCCGTGATATCAGTGGGCGTATTGTTTATGTTAAACAAACCAAAACTCTCTTCAAGCCTACTATAGTTCTCCCACTTTCCGGCTTCCTCGCACATTAGCAACCCGTCACTAGTGTGTTCCACGTTAAGGAAAAAGATGATGAAACGACAACTTCAAGTGGTTTGTGGTGAGGGGACGCTTACACGGTGATCAATCGGCGCTCGCAAGCGTTACCTACGCTACTTCGCGCAACAACTCGATCTGTGCTCTGGCAATGCACCCACTCAAGGCGTAACTTTATTCGGAAAGAATCATCCTAAAACCCCGGTGCACGTTTTTTAAACAATAGTAAGAGTAAATACAATTTGTCCCGGTTCAAAGATCTCACTTTCAGTTTCTCGTTCATTCATTCACAACATAACTTGTTATCCTGACAGCTAAGCCGTTTGAAGATATTGATGTTATTGGCCTGCCGATAAACTGCGGGCCCCTTAAGTTTCGTCTTCAATAGTTCAACGCGACAGCGATATCCTGTTCCGAGCACGTACTTAAGCCACTGAGAGTAAACGTTTTATTGTATGAAGTTACGCGATAAGTTTAAATTGTACATTACTACAATGAAATCAATAAAGTTCCAAGTGACTAAAGTTCGGTGAAACTTTTTCATATTGCTGCATAATAAGTAGTAGAAAGTATGTTTTATTGAAACACTGATCAATTATGCGAGCGAACTCTTTATTACGCGGCGCTTAGCTTCCCAAAAGCACCACATGATTATGAAAAACGCCGTAGTGGAGGTCTCGAGAAGTTTCGACCACCTGGGGTTCCTGAACGTGTGCCCAAATCAGAGCTCACAGGCCTCGAGCATTTTAAACTTCACATGAAATGCAGCCGCCGCAGCTGGGATTTGATCCTGCAACCTGCGGGTCAGCTTCCGAGTGCCTTAGCAACTAGACTACCATGGCGGGGCACGAGTGAAATCTTTTCGAACATGCAATGCACCCACAACCTAGTCTTAAAAGAATAGGCGCCGTAAGATGTCGCCTTTTAAAATGGGTGACCAGCTCTAAACGGCGAAGTCATTATGACAATATTTCGTTGTGACTCCCGATGGCAATGAATGCTTCTACCACGCCATATTAGTGCGATATTAACGTGATAGCGTTAGAGAGCTCGTGTCACAGAAATTCCGCCATAGGCGTCGTTGGTTGTGAGCGAAAAATCGACAAAAAAGCAAATACAATAAACAATAAAATTACGTCCCTTTGAGGATCGATAGCGGGCTGTTCGCGTGACAAGGTGTCCTACGACAAATCTACGATGTTACTTGCAGCTGCTTCGAGAAAAAACACTACACAAGGGTCATGTAGTAGGAGTCTCCTTAACGTATTTTGTTCGGTAGGTGTCGCGACAAAAACGAGCCCATTCGGAAATTTGTAGGCGCACTTGGCAAGCCATCAACTACCTCAAAAAGGCCGGGATAGTGCAGCCATCACCGCTAAAAACGCACAGGAACTTTCTGACAGCTCTGAAAAGGAACTATGTCGATCTAGCGGAAAACGAATCGTGCCTTTCCAAAGGCGTTCATCAAGCAAACAGCAAACGCTAGATAATGTGGTGCCATCTGTGAGGCATTGTGAGACTCTTTATGGCCTCCGAAATGACGAGCGCGCGGCGTGTATCTTGGAGGCCATGTGACTCTTGCTTTAGAACAAAAACCTGTATGTACCTATCACGCGCGCGCGCTGGTACACTCTACTGTGTAAGTGTTCGTGTGCGTGTGTTTGTGTAACAAAGCATATTAATAAGTATGCACTTACTGGTTGAAGGGCCCACTAAGGGCTGGATTTCACTATCGCGTTCAACCCTTAAAGGCGAAGCTTAAGGGTCCCCCAATTTTACATGTTGTATTGGGAAGCCTGTACGGAGAATGCGTGTTTGTAGAGCATGAACGTCAATTTCACTGGTGGTGGTAGTGGTTAAAATATGAGAAAAGGCACCTAATTTCGGCAACCTTGTCGGGAGCACGGCGCAGTGCCTGTACTTTCACTACATTTCCAAGCAAAGAAGGTTACTTTAAGTACAGTGTCTAGAAACATACTGCCTAGTGTGCTGAGCGCGGGCTAGGTGATGGCCCCGCATCTGATGACTGCTGGCAGCGCCCGCATGGTGCACTGCTGTGCGAGTGGGTGCATTTGCGTTCAATCCTTGCACTCCGCAAGCGCTGCGAAGCCTGCAGGAGGCCGAGCCGCACGAGGCCAACTATTATTTTTTTGCATTTTCGTAGTGTTTTTTACATAATGCTTTAATGTATTAGAACTACTTGATTGCTTTCACAGTACTGGCACTTTGCAATAACAAATGAAGATCATTTCGTGGCATACATTTCGCCATCCGCTACTGCCCGCAAAAAAAAAAAGACGCAGATACCACGTAACTTGGGAATCAATGCTATGCAAGGTGACTCTGTTGGGATTTTTTATTAAGTGAAACTTAATGAGTGGCGCTAAATATATGCAAGAAATTGGACAGCCGAAACTGGAACCAGCATTGACGTTTCATGAACATTTGGCTCTTCTTGCAAAATATTTCGAAGACCCTATGTTAAGGGGGTGATCGTGAGGGCACCCAGACTTAGGCGATTCGATAGATAGATAGATAGATAGATAGATAGATAGATAGATAGATAGATAGATAGATAGATAGATAGATAGATAGATAGATAGATAGATAGATAGATAGATAGATAGATAGACGGATGGGTAGATGGACGGACGGACGGACGGACGGACGGACATGCGGACGGACATGCGGATGAACGCACGGACGGAGATACAGACAGACGGACGGACGGACAGACACAGATTGACAGACGGACGGACAGATGGACGGACAGACACATATTGACAGACGGACGGACGGATGGACAGATGGACCGACAGACGGACAGACAGATGGATGGACGGATAGACAGACAGACAGGCAGACGGATGGGCGGATGGATAGACAGACAGATGGACGGGCAGGCAGACAGACAGATGGACAGACGGACGGATGGATGGACGCACGGATAGACAGATGGACAGACAGACAGACAGACGGAGGGACGGACAGACAGACGGATGGACAGATAGACAGACAGACGGACAGGCACACGAATGGACGGACAGACAGACAGACAGACAGACAGACAGGCAGGCAGGCAGGCAGGCAGGCAGACGGACGTATGGATGGACAGACGGACAGACGGACGGACAAATGGACAGATGGACAGGCGGACGGACAGACAGACAGACAGACGGACGTATGGATGGACAGATGGACAGACGGATGGACAAATGGACAGATGGACAGGCGGACGGACAGACAGACAGATAGACAGGCGGTAGGATGGACAGACAGACGGGTGGACGTGCGGATGGACGGGTGGACGTGCGGATGGACAGATGGACGGGCGTATGGACAGATGGACGGGCGGATGGACAGATAGATAGATAGATAGATAGATAGATAGATAGATAGATAGATAGATAGATAGATAGATAGATAGATAGATAGATAGATAGATAGATAGATAGATAGATAGATAGATAGATAGATAGATAGATAGATAGATAGATAGATAGATAGATAGATAGATAGATAGATAGATAGATAGATAGATAGATAGATAGATAGATAGATAGATAGATAGATAGATAGATAGATAGATAGATAGATAGATAGATAGATAGATAGATGCTCAAAGTGGTTGCAGTACGCAAAAAAATTAATTTTAAAGACCATTGACAGTATAACCACCATAGTTATTTTTTAAAATGTGCTTTGTTCTTGAGAGCAAGAATTATCACAGAAAAACCTGAAACCTTTACCTCTTAGCCTGCATTCCATTAGGATTCGAGTGAAAATAAAGAATGACAACATGCCAATGAATAATCAGACACTCGCCGCATATGATACTGAAAACATTGTTGGAAAGGGAGTCCGACGTTGACATGGGAGAAAGACTGTGTGAATGAAATTCGAAAGGGTATTTTCAATTTTTAGATAAATATTAATATTTGAAATTTTGCCTAAATGGCGATTTCATTCCCGACACCATTCACTCTAATCCGAAAAGATAGTTCGATGGAGTCACTCTCAGAATGCTTTTCTCACACGACAGCCTTCGGATTCAGCCTTTTGTCGGCCCTTTTGATCATACTTTTTCATTCAGGAAACCGTGCTGAATCCGTTAGTGCGGGGAACAAGACACCTTTTCCTTGTTCGACCGATAACTTCTTTAACACAGCGGCACAATACACGTCCTTCGTTTGAATTGCCGCTTAGCTTTGAACATCTCAGGGTGTTGCAGTGTATACATATGGCGCCGTCGAACTTCACAGTAAATCAGATGGCAGCTGTCACACACTGATTTTAAACGTGGCCAGGCCCCGGCAGCAACAGGACGAGAGGAATTTCGCGCGTTCGTGCACCCTCTCGACACGCAGCGCCGCTTGTGGCATCTGAGTGCAGTCATCACATGCGCGGCCACCCTCTCTCGTACGGAATGCGCGCGCTCAGCACACTACGCAGTATATTTCTAGACACTGTACTTTAACCGAACTTCCGAGCAGACACGTGGCTGTGCGGCAGGACACTCACTTGCCACGCAAACAGCCTGGTTTTGATCCTCACTCGACTTAGATATTTAATTATTTATTTCATTTGCATTTTTCTCAATTTTAGGTCACAAACAAAATAATTTTTTCCCTCACAATGAATGACGCCGGCGCCGGAATATTTGTGGACCGAGCTTTGTAACCCTATCGTGTTAAATATTTCAGATCACGCTCGTTTCTAGCAGCGTGCAATTGAAACACTTCAAACACAAATAAAATATTTTTAGATGCGTTAAACATAGGATAGAAGCAGACATAGTATGTTAACTTGTTCTGACTGTTCATTAGTGCGTCTACAGCATTTTGCACCTCTGAACAGAACTTCAGATACAGGCTGACTGGCTTCTCGCTACAAGCCACGAATACTTCATAAGCGTTGCTTTTTTTTTTCTTCCCTGCAGCAGAACGTTGTAAAACAAGAGTTTTTATAGCTGAATATTGAGAACAGTTATGAAACAAGGGTCAGGTTCAATCTTACGAGTGCTATAAGGGCCCCTCCACAATTTCCTTCGTCACACAAAGTTGTTCATACTGAGGGCTGTGCACGTGCTCCAGCTGCTTCTCTGCTGCTTCAACAATATTTTCCGCATATCGAACTAGGATTGTCGTGCACCACGCACACACGCCCACACACAAATGCCTCTTACCTGTCAGTGCTGCGCAAAGCAGCATGGTATGGAGCCTGCCAACATGCATCCTGGACCTCTTTCTGTGTCTTACCGAGAGAACACGTTCTGAACGTCCGCTCTCAACGAGCGTGATCCTACCACTGGATGAGAGTTATACCTTCCTCTACTAGGAGTGAGAAAGAAGGCCTGTTTGGCAGACGATACCGAAACCATAGGGGTCGCCAGCCGAAGGACAGACGAGAGGAAGAGTGGCGTGGGGACTGATACGAGATACGGTGACGCTTTTGGCAGCTCGCTTGAAAGACGACGCTTCGCTTCTGTATGCGAGACGCACGCACATGACCGAAGATAAAAAAAAAGACTGGCTTTACCTTACGTGGCGGCTTACTCATTTGACTGCGCGCGCTTCTATATGCACTCGAAAAAAAATGTACAGCTACTACCATGAATTGTCTTAAGCAAACTCTGCAGCCGCAATGAAACGAAACACAGCGAACGATTTTGATACCCTCCTTTCATTCCACGCAAAGAATTCGACTCGTAAAATAATGGTAACAACGATTGGCTGTTCAACGCATCATAACCATCATATCGATACGACAGACGCCTTAGTAAAAACCTTCGAATATTTTGACCACGAGGGGTTGTTCAACGTGCAGCTGAATCTAGCTACACGGGAATTCTCGCCTCCATCGAATATGCGGCCCCCGGGGCGCCGATTCACGGCTGAGATCCGATTCAGTGACCTGCGGGTCAGGCGTCGAGCATCAAAACCACTATATCTACACGGTGAGTATTCCTAATGACAAATCTGAAGGTTGCAAGGTTACACATATCTCATCTCATCTATTTCTCAATGTTTCTCCTGAAAAGCGGTGAAAAAACAGCACCCCTTTACCAGGAATTCGATAATGCTACACTCAATAGCATGAATGGGATACTGCGTAGGGGCTATGAATTGTCCATTACAAGCTAAAGCAAACTAACGAACCGGTGTTACTGAGTCATCACACGCAGGGTTCAGTAATCATTATGAAAGATTTGCCTTACTATGAGACGTGGTATAGTGGTTAGACTCTGCTGCCTGACTTTAACTCAACCAACTGACACATTCCTAAGTCAAAAGCCGTATGTGGACGAAGATGGATAAGTAACTTAACGCGGGATGTAGACGGAAGCCGCAGCCTCTATCATTGATTTGTCAATCTAAAATGATTTGGCAAAGCAATGCCAAAGTGTGCAATGCAGTTAGCTATAGCACTTGTTGCACGCGGCTTACAAAAGTGCGGCTGGTAAGGCACAGCTACAACGCAGTGGTTTTCTGTGGCTGGCGGCTGGTGGTGTAGGGTGTTCGGAAAGGAAGTGGCTGGCGGAGTTTCCCAGGATCTCGCCCGGGTATCAGTTCACCACCGCACAGAACCCAGACTTCCCTTAGGTTTACCCTTACAACCACGCTGCCGAAGCGTCGGTGTTTTTATATTCATTTGGATGAAGACGCAGCGCGTGCGCACACGTTCTTTTATGAATGCCATTGAGGTGCAGCTAGTAAAAAAAAAACATGCAGCTTCAAATTGGATATACAAAATTACGCTGAAGCTTGGTCATGCATCAAAATAGGCGTTCTCGCTAGTTTGAGTGTGAAGGCACAAACAGGGCTGTACCCAGGAATTTTTTTTCTGGTGTGTTTGTGTGTAGAACGGCTTACGTTGGTCACTGGCGGTGGATTTAAAGATATGTAAATACTTTAGTGCTAGCCGAAAACTTATAGCAAAAACAAACTTCAGTGGTTATCAGAGCCCTCTAAACTTCCCCTTAGTTACGGCCCTGAGCGCAGACACCACGGGCAAAGGAAAAAAGGACATCACAGTCGCGAAACTATGAGGCCGCAATTGGTGAAAATCCTGTCTGGCGCAAGCCGTACGACGCAACTATTTCCCGGATGCCAGGCATGTGGTATATTTGTATGCACTAAATGATGTTGACATGTGACTTGCGGTATGCGAATACTGTCGCTGGTGAATGAACCATACGCAACTTCATTATTTTTCTGGCTGGCCGTACGCACCCTCGCAGTATTTCTGCACAAACAATTCATCGCAATTCACCGCATGCAGGCGCTTTGGAGAAGACTATTCATTCGTAAAAGCAAGCTGTGAAATAAGCATGCCCGTTTTTGTAGCGAATCTGCAAAATGGCGCCCTTCCACGTGTTTGTTTGACAGCGCATACAGAGAGAGAGCACGTGCGTTTGTTGTTCATTTTATCACTTACCTTATCGCTGTTTTCGTCACGATATTCTCGATGGTGGCACATGGGAACGCAGCACGTCAGCACCATTGCAACACGCCGTATCTAGGAAAAACTTTTACGGAAGTTCAGGATTTGGTAGCGCTGAAATGTCACGCACTGGCACCTTGCCGAAGCTACAGTGTACCAAAGCCTGCGCCATCTGCTGCGGTACCCTCACAATGGCGGCAGAGTGTAGTTCGCGTCCGTGGTGCTAGGGGCACCCTTTTTCGAAAGGGGTCTATAAAGAGCTCTAGAAATTCTTCACATCTGTTACTCTAAGTCTAGCTCCTAAATTTTACCTCAGTAGAAATGGAACCGCTGCGGCTGGAGTTTGATCCCATGACCTATGGTTCAGCAGTCGAGGACCAGAACCGTTAAAAATTCACGGGTGGTTATTATTCTGTATAGCTTTTTATTGTGTAGAGCCGCCTTCTGTGCTGGTCTGATGCACATGCATGTATGTGTACAATTAATTTTTTTTCTCCTCGGTTTTCTTGTTTCATGGTTACCCTTTCGTCCTGACGTAAAGAATCGGGCAAATATTCTTTGTTATTATTCACGATCACTGCGAAGCAACTAGTGGCAGTCATCAGCAAACTTTACCTTAGGGTGTCTTATTTGTGTGACTACTTCTGTCAGCAAAGCATTAATGCGCACAGATTAATTGTTTGCACACTCAATATTTATAGGAAGAACGGCAGGCGTTCCGACGTGCACACAACCAGTATTCTAGTTTTTGAGCAGGTGTTAAGATTAAGTGATTTAGGTAAACCACAAAGACTCATACAGATGTGTACATGCAAACAGTGCTCGCAAAGCACCCATACAGTGAATACGCGTGCAAACAAAAAAAGTGGGGCACCACTGTGTGCAATGAACACGTTGTGTCAGTAAAAACATTTCAAAAAACAAAGTGCAGTTGCACAATGAGTATAGCTTAGGTCTGTGCTCGTTATGTCTTTCACTCGTCTTCGTCTCTGTTTATTGGTACCGGTATAAGCCTAAAAATAAATATAAACCAAGGTTATGTGTGGTGATTTGTGGCGCAAGGGCCATTTGTTGGCTAAAGAGTGCCAGGTCATAAGACGAGATGTGAACAACGAATATGTTGGGTGGCTGTATAAGGGCCTTATAATTCCTGCCGCTGAAGAGGGTAAAACATAGAACTAATAAAATAATGACAATGACGTGAAATGTATAGTAAAAATGGGTGGCGAAAGGCTCTGATAATAAAAGCATGTGTGAAGATATTTGGCACTAGCACAAGTGCCTCATCAGCGCCCTTGTGTCTGAGGGCCACGAGGCAAGTGCTTTTCAATGTAGCCACCGCAGCAGCAACCTCTCTTTAGAGGTCGTGCTACGCAATGCCTGGGTATATTACATGGTAGCATTAGAAATCTCTTTAAAAAGCTAGCACAGATTTATGAGTAAGAATGGTTCCTTACCGACGAACATTACAGGGTGTAGTGGTATATGTTGTCGGTAGGGTAATGGAAAGTGTTGTCTTCTAAGAGTGCATACTTGTTCACACTGGATTAAAATGGGAAGAACTGATAGTGCTTCACCACATCTCTCACACAATGGTGGATCGCCGCCAGACAAAAGATATGAGTGTGTCGTGTATGTGTGTCCTATCCTGAGCCTTGTTAGTGTTACCTCTGTACGACGTGATTTTGATACCTGACGGCCACTGACCATGGTGTGGCTTAATAACGTGTAGTTGGTTTCGTGTGTGTGTATCCCGCCTGCTCTGCCAGTTGGCTCTAAGCTTTCGTTTGAGAGACGGTCTAAGATTAAGGGCCAGGCTTGATATGGATGAAGTGGCAGTGCTTTCTTGGACGGATGCACCAAGCAGATCCGCCATCACGTTTCCTTGAATCTCATGGTGCCCTGGCACCTAGCACACTACGACATGTTTTTTGAGTGTGTAGAGTGTGCATAAAATAGAGTAAAATGAGACTAGGACAGGGTTTTTTTTGTTTTTAAGTGTTTGTAGAGCTGTTACCACACCGAGGGAGTCCGTATAAATTACTGCTTTTTGTATTTGTACTTGTTTGATGTGTTTAGCCGCCACAAGTATCGCGAAAGCTTGCCCTGTGAAGATACTTGTGTCTGGATGTAGAGGGCCAGCATCCTAAAAGGGTGGGCGGACAGCAGCGTAGGACACAGAGGAGTTAGAAGCATCTGTGAAGAACTCAGGACGTGTGTATTTGTGTTGAAGTTCCAGGAGGTATGTGCGGATATTGGGAAATGGGCGTGTGTTTTGTAACTTCTAGGCAAGACACAACGCAGTCTATAGTCTGCCACTGCCACGGTAGCGGGTATGCTGCAGGAGCCATTAAAGTGAGTTCAAGTCACACACCAGTTTCCTCAGCTAGACCCTTCAGGCGAACTGTGTAGGGCTGCCTCATCGAAGGCCTGTTTTGAAACAGAATGGAGCTCGACAAATCATTAATAGTGAAATATGAGGAGAGCTTCTTGTCAGCTTTCACCTCAAGAAAGTATACAAAGGACATGTAAGTTCTCTGCGGATGAAGCGACCACTAATTTGACTCAACGTAGAGGCTTTCTATGGGGCTGTTGCGAAAAGCACCCGCAGAAAAGCGGATGCGCAAATGGTGCACAGGGTCCAGCATCTTCAAAGCACTTTGAGTCGCAGACTGATAAAAAACGGCCCCATAGTCTAAGCTTGTGAGAATGAGGTTTTTGTACAAATTCATGAGACATTGCCTGTCACTACCCCACGTAGTACGTGACAACACTTTTAGAACATTCATGGCTTTAACACGCTTTGTTTTTATATACTTGATGTGTGGTATGAAGGTTAGCTTGTCGTCCATGATTAGGCCTAAGAATTTATGTTTGGCATTCACAGACAAACGTT